GGAAGTTGAGAAGGTCATGCAGGTTGCCAACAAGGACACCTCTGCCGAACTCACTCACTACGTCTACACCGCTCTCAAGACCGCCATGCACGCCGAAGAGCCCTGCTACCAGCTCCTGTGAGTCGTCTCTCGCTTCACGATCCCAAATTCCTAAAACTTGTACAATATTCCCATTTGATTTTTCCCCGAAAGAGTTCTAGACTTTAGCCTTCGGGGCGATAATCGACGGAATTTTACAGCGCCCAGCGCATCCGTGCTGCCTGGACTCAGATCCGTCCCTTCGACTCCGGCATGAAGTACTCTCAACTCCGTTCGAAGTCTATCTACAACCGTAAGTTGTAACCCTGAATTTAGTACGGTTTGGCATTGACGAACAAATATTTGTCCTCTGGTAGGGGAAAGGCTTCCTAACGCAGCATCTGAATCGCTTGCAGTCGTTGAGGACTTCGGAGTCCGCGGTATCTGGAAGGTCATCACCTCCAACACCACTGTCTTCCCCACCTACACCCAGACCAAGTTCGAGCAGACTCACGGACCCTACATGAAGACCCTCTTCGGTGCCAAGTTCCTCGTCAAGGGCGGCGACAAGATCTGGGACGAACTCACCGGCAAGGATGGACTCCTCGAGCGCATCGCTCACGCCATCAACGGTCAGGTCAAGACTGGTGAACGTCAACAGCAAACCGAGCAGCTCCTCAAGGACATCGCTCAAGGCATGGACATCGAGAACTTCGACAAGGAAACCCCCAAGGCCGTTCTCTTCTGGAAGCTTTTCTCTGGCGAAGTCGTCATCCCCATCGATGCCGAATACGTCAAGGAACTCAAGCAGGAGCTTCTCCAAACCGTCACCAAGGTCGGCAAGGAGGGTCTCACCGGACACTATTTCCGAGTCTATGTCCCCACCAAGGCGTTCCACGTTGAGCCCACCACTGTCGGTCTCCCCGTTGTCCACTCCACCATCCACCCCATCGTGATGTCCGTCCGTTACGCGAACGTCAAGCTCAACTACAAGAACCAGCAAGGCCGTCTCCTCCCTCGAGACTTTCGTAGCTCACCGGTTCCACCAAGCCCACCGTCCTCTCCTACCGTCAATCTCGCGTCTTTGTCACCGAGAAGCCCGGAAGCTCCAACCCACTTTCAAGACCACCGACATCAAGGAGTTCAACCTCGGTCTCTCCTTCAAGATCGCTTTCGAACACGGTCAACGTCGTCTCACCGTCAACTTCAAGCCCCACTTCGAGCGTGTCCTCCACTCTGGTCACTGCACTGAGCTCAAGCTCCAGAAGAACACCATTGTCGACGAGAAGCCCCGTACCAACGTCATGAGCTACGACAACTGCATCAAGTCCCTCTACGAGCCCATCCGTCACGAGAAGCAGATCGGTGGTCGCTGGTCCGGTATGGTCCTCCGTCTCACCGGTGAATCTCACCAGCCCTGGTTCGGTCTTCCGCTTTTCGGCTCCAAGGACGCCCACCGTAACGGAGTTATCGGCGCCCTCCTCAACCGTCTCGCCAACAAGGGCATGAAGCACCACGCCATGTCCCTCTACCTCGAGACCGACAAGCAGCAGCCCATGAACGAATGGTCCGCCGTCATCGACATGGACTCGAACATCGAGGCTCTCGCCAAGACCCCCCTCGACCAACAAGCTCAGAAGGCTCAGAAGGTCAAGGTTCAATACCAGCCCCGTCGTCAGGAGCAGCTCGACTCCGAACTCCGCTCCGTTCTCGAGAAGGTCGAGACTCTCCTCCAGAAGCTCTCCGGCAAGATCCAGGAGACCACTCTCGAGAAGCAACTCCTCGTCAAGCTCGAAGGTCGCTACCAAGGTCAACCGAAGAACACCATCAAAATCGCCATGAAGAAGGTCTACAACCTCGAGAAGACCCAGCAGAAGTTCGCTCTCGCTGCCGAATCCCAGGAGTCCCGCAAGGGAATCGAACTCTTCGCCAACGTCTCCTGGCCCAACGATGCCCACTCCCTTCCACTTCGACCCACCCACAACGCCGCCGATGAGCGCATGAACGGCACCCTCTACGCTAAGCTCCAGGGCCAGCAAGAGCAGACCTACCGCGTCAAGTTCCAGGCCACCAAGTCCGAAGAACAGCGCAAGGAATCTCCTCTCAAGTGGTTCGAGGTCCGTTGTCTCGCTGAGCAGAGCGCCGGCAAGACCGTCACCGACGCCTGCAAGAAGGCCATTCTCAAGGACAACTCCCTCGACCGCATGGAGATGACCGTTGAGCTCCCCGAGAACGTCCACCCCAAGATGAGGCAGCTCGCCAAGCAGACCCTCACCGCCGTCAAGTACGCCATGTACCCCTACATGCAGTCTGACATCTCTGGCCGTCAACAGAACCAACAACAACAACAGCAGCAGCGTGGAGACAAGCAACAGATCTACATCTCCGCCAACACCACCCGCGAATCCCAATGGTCTCTCCTCCACAACATCCGCATTGAGATGCCCCGTGAGAACGTGACCCTCTCCAACATCCGCATTCCCGGATTCCGTCCCGCTCACATGCAGCTCTCCCTCAAGCAGCAGCTCACCCACGTCGCTGCCCGCAGCGGTTTCCACGAGGCCTGCATCGTCGGCCCGAAGGCTGTCCGCACCTACGACAACGTCACTTTCGGTCTCGACGTCAAGGGCGGCTGTGAGTACATTCTCACCCGCGATCAGACCCACGGCCTCACCGACTTCATCGCCACCTTCAAGGTCGTGAACGAAGAAACCTACACTAAGAAGGTCCGCGTTCAACTCCGCAACACCGAGATCGAGCTCGAGCCCTTCACCGCCACCAACCGTAAGATCGTCGTCGGCGTCAACGGCACCAAGCACGAGATTTCTTTCGGAATTCCCATGGTCTTCAACTACGGCGGACACGATCGCGTTTACGTCGGTGCTATCGAAACTGCCGGCGCCCACCAAGCGCCCATCGTTGTCGTCTTCACCGAGTCCAAGAAGTTCCGTCTTGCTTTTGACGGCCACTCCGTCGCCACCATGATCGGCAACAGATACCACGGTCACGTCAACGGTATCTGCGGAAACAACGACAACGAACGCACCCACGAATTCATCGGTCCCAACGGACACGAATACCAGCACGCCAACGAGTTCATCGCTTCGTACGGAATCGGCCAGAGCTGCAAGACTCCCGCCGTCAACACCCACGAGAAGATGATGGAGAAGCTCAACTCCGAACTCAAGCAGGTCCGCGAGCAGCAGCAACGCAAGAGCAACCAATGGCGCGAGGAGATGTCCCGCGGCTCTCGGTACGAGGACCTTCCCGAGCAGTGGCGCGAGGAAATGCACGAGTTCCACCACGGAAGCCGTCAGGACTCCTGGCAAGAGGAAGCCGACGACTGGAGCTCCGAACAGCAGAAGAACCACCACACCCCCAGGACCGCTGTCTCCGTTGAGGCCAACGACATCTGCTTCTCCGTCCAGCCCGTCCTCGCCTGCAAGTCCGGCTACCGCAAGAACGGTATCCTCCGTACCGAACGCGTCGAGTCCATCTGCCACAAGAAGTCCAGCGAGTTCGTCTCCAAGGCCATGAAGGACATCCAAAATGGAATCCAAATCAACGCCGCCCACCTCGAGAAGGGCTCCACTGGCCGTCTCGTCACCCTCGTCAACATCCCCAAATGTGTGCGACACGACTAAACTCAATAAAAAAACTGATTAGGTGAAAAAGTGGTGTCCGCTTCTTCAGTGAGACTCTTTTAAGACGGTCAGACTCCCCGATTCTACTCCCTCCCTCTCTCAGCTTTATTATCGCGCAAGCTTCTTCTCTCCGTCTATATCGAGCATTGTCGGCGCTTTGGGGACTCTGCAACAACAGCGAACTCGTCAGCTCGACCTTGACTCGGACCTTGAGCGCAGTCGTGGCTGAGATCGAAGCATAGTAGTCACGAGTTGGGATTCCATGCAGGTCTGTGGCTCCTAAGTCCTAAGCCAATCGTTCCGAGCTTCACTCCGTACTTGGAAGCTCCCCTTGGTCTCCATCTGCACACGAGTAGATCTTCCATTGGCATGCTAGCCCTTGGTTCCTCACTATCACATTTCAGAATCTTGAATGTTATCCACTAAGCGGAGATTTTACTAGTTGTTGTTCTCGATCGGGGCCCTTCTCAGTTTTCCTCCGTCATGAAGACGACAGAATTCAACTCCTTGGGGAGGAAATCCCCAGATGGCTGAATGCATCTCCCACATTAATTAGTTTCAGATTAAACGTCTCGCGTATGAGGAACCTACGGCTCCTCACAGACTCCATGTTTGGAGCGATCTCCTTCCTCATCAACTCCAACGGAAGGGTTCCTCATGTGACACGTGTCTCATACGCGGGACTTCAACACTCGCTCCCCTGAGAGCTCGATGATGGGAACCGACGAAAGATCTACCAGGAGACGAACGACGTCTTTCACGGGATAGAGGTTCTTCCGCATACTCAGGTCCCGAGTCCCCTGACAGTCCGTGGAACCTTCACAATCTCTCTCTGTCGTCCTCCTAATTCGGAAGCTGGCGGAGGATGTTGAGCGAAACCTCGTGGCTTTCATTCCCTCCGATTCCGCAGATTAGGAATGGGGAAAGGCACCAAGGACTCCCTCGACCAAAGACGCTAGGAATAAGATCGTCTATCGAATGATTCCCACAATAGGAGTCGGGTATTCGGTTGTCATAGAAAGTGGGGTCATGTTTATTTGCGTCAGATATGACTCTCTGCCGGCCCCTGATTAAATATGCGGAATGTACTGAAGCCACGCAAAGCGATCATTCTAGGATTCGCACGGGGCCTAGGCGCCCGGTCAAGCGAAATCACTTTCGTTCATTGCGAATATCGTGCGCGGATCGTCCATGCCTCTTCTCAACATGACGAAACTCAGAGCCAGAGTCAGAAGGAAGAAAAATACGCCGAAGACGACCGCCTCCAACAGGGGCCGAGCCTTGCTTTTCCGGTTCACAGTCCACAGAGGCGCTCCTTGGAGGTTCTGCGAGATCTGAATGATCGAAGTGCTCAAGTCCTGAGGTCCTCTGAGTCCGGTGGAACGGAGGAGCGCCGAGTCGATACGATCAGCGTGTGTTCCACCAGCGGAGTCGCCATCCTTCCGTGGTTTCCGCTTCTTGAATTTCTTCCGTTTGGCTTCGTCTTTCGTCATCAATAAAGAGGTGGAACGAACAGTGAAAACCCTAGCTCAACCGAGCGATTTATTGCGCTAAACTGGCGATTTTATTGAACTACATCGATGGGATGATTCATCGACGAACGCACTTCGGGATGCTAACGGTGACGGTGGTGTGCTTCACGGACTTGTGCTCGAGTTCGGACACGTTAACGTTCTCGTGTTTGCGGATCTTCTGCAGGGCGTGCTGGGCGGCGGAGTCGCCCTTCTTCAGGCAGACGGAGTCGACCTGCTCGGTGCGGAGAACGCCTTCCTTGTGGTAGCCGGGCTTGCAGGTGGGGACGCGCTCAACGCTGAAGCAGAACAGATCCTGCTGGGAGGAGACGTAGGTCCTGAGGACCTGGTGGTTGCTCTGGTCGTCCTGACCGGTGGGCTCGTCGTAGTCCATCCTCTGGTTCTCGTGGAAGAACTCCTTCATCTCCTCCTGCCAGTATTGGGGCTGCTTCCGGTAGTGGGTCTCCTGGGTCATGTGCTCGCGCTTCTGATCCTTCTTCTGCTTTTCCTGTTGACGGATCTGCTTGAGTTCGTGTTGGAGCTTCTCCATCATCTTCTCCTTGATGTCCTCCTTGGGAACTTTGCAGTCCTGACCGACGCCGTAGGAGGCGATGAACTCGTTGGCGTGTTGGTACTCGTGACCGTTAGGACCGACGAACTCGTGAGTCTTTTCGTTGTCGTAGTTACCACAGATTCCGTTGACGTGACCGTGGTACTTGGCACCGATCTTGGTTCCGATCGTGGTTCCGTCGAAGACGACCTCGAAGTTTTTCGATTCGGTGTAGACGTAGACGATGGGGAGGCTGTTGTAGGTGGAGGTTTCCTTGGCTCCGATGAACACGCGATCGTTGCCACCGTAGGAGAAGACGAGGACCTTGCCGATTGTCATGACGTGCTTGGTGTTGTTGAAACCAATCATGAATTGATTGTCAGAGCTGACGAAGGGCTCGAGCTCGATGATGGAGTTTCGGAGCTGAATGCGAACCTGCTTAGCGTGGGTCTGCTCGTTCTTGACCTTGAACGTGACGATGAAGTCCGACGATCCCTGGGTCTGGTCGCGGGTGAGGAGGTATTCGCAACCGTCCTTGACGGTGAGATGGAAGGGAACCTTATCGAAAGTGCGGACACCGGTCGAGGCGACGATGCAGCGAGGCTCGCTTCCGCCACGAGTGGCGACGTGCTCGAGCTGCTGCTTGAGGGTGAGCTGCACGTGAGCGGGACGGAATCCGGGAATGCGGATGTTAGAGAAGGTCACGTTCTCACGGGGCATCTCAATGCGGATGTTGTGGAGGAGAGACCATTGGGATTCGCGGGTGGTGTTGGCGGAGATGTAGATCTGTTGCTTGTCTCCACGCTGCTGCTGTTGTTGTTGTTGACGGCCAGAGATGTCAGACTGCATGTTGGGGTACATGGCGTACTTGACGGCGGTGAGGGTCTGCTTGGCGAGCTGCCTCATCTTGGGGTGGACGTTTTCGGGGAGCTCAACGGTCATCTCCATGCGGTCGAGGGAGTTGTCCTTGAGGATGGCCTTCTCGCAGGAGTCGGACATGGCGTATCCGGACTTCTGCTCAGCGAGACAGCGAATCTCGAAGTGCTTGAGTTCGGATCCCTTGCGCTGTTCTTCGGACTTGGTGGCCTGGAACTTGACGCGGTAGGTCTGCTCTTGCTGGCCCTGGAGCTTAGCGTAGAGGGTGCCGTTCATGCGCTCATCGGCGGCGTTGTGGGTGGGGTCGAAGTGGAAGGGAGTGGGCATCTTGGGCCAGGAAACGTTGGCGAAGAGTTCGATTCCCTTGCGGGACTCCTGGGATTCGGCAGCGAGAGCGAACTTCTGCTGGGTCTTCTCGAGGTTGTAGACCTTCTTCATGGCGATTTTGATGGTGTTCTTCGGTTGACCTTGGTAGCGACCTTCGAGCTTGACGAGGAGTTGCTTCTCGAGAGTGGTCTCCTGGATCTTGCCGGAGAGCTTCTGGAGGAGAGTCTCGACCTTCTCGAGAACGGAGCGGAGTTCGGAGTCGAGTTGCTCCTGACGACGGGGCTGGTATTGAACCTTGACCTTCTGAGCCTTCTGGGCCTGTTGGTCGAGGGGGGTCTTGGCGAGAGCCTCGATGTTCGAGTCCATGTCGATGACGGCGGACCATTCGTTCATGGGTTGCTGCTTGTCGGTCTCGAGGTAGAGGGACATGGCGTGGTGCTTCATGCCCTTGTTGGCGAGACGGTTGAGGAGGGCGCCGATAACTCCGTTACGGTGGGCGTCCTTGGAGCCGAAAAGCGGAAGACCGGACCAGGGCTGGTGAGATTCACCGGTGAGACGGAGGACCATACCGGACCAGCGACCACCGATCTGCTTCTCGTGACGGATGGGCTCGTAGAGGGACTTGATGCAGTTGTCGTAGCTCATGACGTTGGTACGGGGCTTCTCATCGACAATGGTGTTCTTCTGGAGCTTGAGCTCAGTGCAGTGACCAGAGTGGAGGACACGCTCGAAGTGGGGCTTGAAGTTGACGGTGAGACGACGTTGACCGTGTTCGAAAGCGATCTTGAAGGAGAGACCGAGGTTGAACTCCTTGATGTCGGTGGTCTTGAAAGTGGGGTTTGAGCTTTCCGGGCTTTCTCGGTGACGAAGACGCGAGATTTGACGGTAGGAGAGGACGGTGGGCTTGATGGAACCGGTGAGCTCGAAAGTCTCAGGGAGGAGACGGCCTTGCTGGTTCTTGTAGTTGAGCTTGACGTTCGCGTAACGGACGGACATCACTATGGGGTGGATGGTGGAGTGGACAACGGGGAGACCGACAGTGGTGGGCTCAACGTGGAACGCCTTGGTGGGAACATAGACTCGGAAATAGTGTCCGGTGAGACCCTCCTTGCCGACCTTGGTGACGGTTTGGAGAAGCTCCTGCTTGAGTTCCTTGACGTATTCGGCATCGATGGGGATGACGACTTCGCCAGAGAAAAGCTTCCAGAAGAGAACGGCCTTGGGGGTTTCCTTGTCGAAGTTCTTGATGTCCATGCCTTGAGCGATATCCTTGAGGAGCTGCTCGGTCTGCTGTAGACGTTCACCAGTCTTGACTTGACCGTTGATGGCGTGAGCGATGCGCTCGAGGAGTCCATCCTTGCCGGTGAGTTCGTCCCAGATCTTGTCGCCGCCCTTGACGAGGAACTTGGCACCGAAGAGGGTCTTCATGTAAGGACCACGGATCTGCTCAAGCTTGGCCTGGGTGTAGGTGGGGAAGAAGGTGGTGTTGGAGGTGATGACCTTCGAGATACCACGGAAACCGAAGTCTTCAATGGCTGTGGGAGAGATAAGAAAACAATCATTGCCAGGCGGAACACTCTCACCCATTGATCACGGAGCTCGAATTAAACTTGGATGCGATTGATGGCGAGATAACCCACGGTTGTAGATCGACTTCGAACGGAACTGAGAGTACTTCATGCCGGAGTCGAAGGGACGGATCTGAGTCCAGGCAGCACGGATGCGCTGGGCGCTGTAAAATTCCGTCGATTATCACCCCGAAGGCTAGAACTCTTTCGGGGAAAAATCAAATAGGAATATTGTATAAGTTTTAAGAAATCGGGATCGTGAAGCGAGAGACGACTCACAGGAGCTGGTAGCAGGGCTCTTCGGCGTGCATGGCGGTCTTGAGAGCGGTGTAGACGTAGTGAGTGAGTTCGGCAGAGGTGTCCTTGTTGGCAACCTGCATGACCTTCTCAACTTCCCATTGGGCGGGCTGAGTGTTCATCCAGACGTCGAAGGCAAGGATACGGGTCTGAACGTTCTCGGTGGTGTTCTGGTAGATGACACGAACGATGGGGTTGATTTCCTTGGGGTACTTGGTGGCGACATCGCGGAGGGAGATGATGGCCACACGACGGACGAATTCAGCGGACTCGTTCTGCTGCTCACCCTGATCACGGAGCTGGTGCATGTTGTGGGCGGTTCCGTTCACGTAACCGATGAGGTGACGGAGAACTTCGGGCTTCTGGATCTTAGAGAGACCGTTGATGTAGGCAACAACCTGCTTGAAGTCGGTCGATTGACGGAGAGCCTGAGAGAGACGCTCGACGTACTGCTGGAGCTTCTCGGGGGTGCATCGAAGCTGGGGCTTGATAGCCGGGTGTCCGGTGGATTCTTCGTACTCCTCGTTCTCGGGCTCTTGTTCAGAGCGTTGAGTAGCGTCGGAGCGCTTCCTCTGTCGCTGTTCCTTCTGGGCCCGTTGGTAGACCTGTGAGTCGCAACCCTTGGAGATGATCTTACCGGCGGCAACACAGGCGGTGGCCTTGCCAGTGGGGGTAAGCCCCTCGTTCATGGTGCAGAGACCGAGAACTTGTTCGATCATGTCGGTGTCGGGGTAAGATTGGAAACCAGCGATGTCCTGAAGGACACGACGAGCTTCAGAGGGAGTGAAGGTCTTGTTCTTTATGAATTCGACGGCGAGCTTAACAGCGGTCTTGGAACCGGCCTTGCCGATGAGTTCGATCCAGAGCTGACGACGGAGCTGCTCTTCCTCAGACAGTTGCTTGGTCTGTTGATGACGAAGAGCTCCAGGGATGGTCTGCCTGAGTTCCTCCTCAGTCATGCCAGAGACGGCCTGGAGAAGTTCGACCATGTAGGCGGGGGTGTTGTAGGCCTTCTGTTCGTGACCGTACTTCTGACCCTGCTGGTTCTGTTGGTGCTGGATCTGCTGGAGTTCACCGATGATGGCATCGAAGTGCTTTCCGAAGTTCTCGGGGTACTTCTGGTGCTGGTTGTGTTCCCTCATGAGAGCATAGACGGGGATGTCAAGCTCCTTCTCCGCCTGAGCGGGAAGGCGTTGCTGGAGGGTGGTGTAGGTCTGGACATTCTGGGGTTCCTGAATCTTAGGTCCCTGAGTATTACGGAGACGGAGCTGGAGACGGGTGAAGACCTCGGTCTCGCCACCGAACAGATGGTACACATCGGTAGACTGAGCGCGAGCCTCTTCGAGACGACCACCGCTAACATTGTACTTGGCGATGCTGTTAACAGTGACAAGAGAATCCTGACGCTGCTGGTTGGCGGGACATCCGGGAGTGGGCTTGAGCTCGTAGTCGGTCTTCTCCTCATCGTACTTGGCGAGGAAGTTCTCGGGCTTGTGGTTGTCACAGACACCAGCGCAGCCGCGAGGAACGTCCTTGAGATGACGGTACACGGGACGGGCAAGGCAATCCTTGTAGTCAACGGTCTTGGTCATGTTGTAGACCTCGGTAGCGTGACCGTAGAACTCATCGGGCTGAGAGAGGATCTCGTACTGGACCTTGCAGTTTCCAGTGATACCGTCCTCGTACTTGTACTCAATGGCGGGCACAGCGAGGGAGGTGGGTTTGCGGACCTGGTTCTGGAGGAGGGTGAAGATTCCGCGGAAGATGTTGAGGGACCACTGTTGGTGCTCCTTCTCGGCTTCGATGCGGACAACCTTGCCTTCCTTCATGAAGAACTTGACAGGCTTCTGCATTTGCTGCTCGTATTGACCCTGTTCACGAAGGGTCTTTGCGAGACGCTGTTCTTCAGGCTTGAGATTGCCGAGAGTTTCATCGCGGATATTCCTGTTGATCTTGTCGTACTTTCCAAGAGTGAACTGGGTGAACTTGGCGAGGTATTCTCCCTCACGGACCTGCTCGAGGGCGAGAGTACCGTTGTATTCGAGGGCAGTCTTCTCGCCGGTGAGTTTCTCAACTCCGACGGTAACAGCACCACGAACTCCGTAGACGGAGGACTGGCCTTGTTGACCGGCGAAATGGAAAACTTCGGCGCTGGTGGCTGTGGGATCGAGAGGAATTTTAGAGAAAAATCTCCTTTTCTTATTCGTGCCTTGTGGATGGCATTATCTTGAGAGAATTTATCGCGGACACGGATTCCATTCGCTGCCTATTGTGTGAAATTCCATGAAACCGATGAATCTTGAGCCACTGCACTGATGATTGCAGATGAAACGGAATCACATTCCATCTTCAGAGATCACGGCAAGAGGTCGAACGATTCACAGATTGCACTGATAAGAGCGGCGGCGACGGCAGCGGCATAACACAGAAGACACCCACGACGGTATTGAGTATACATATCCACACATCACCGTACCCGCAGCCAAGAGCAGAGGAATAATGAAGAACCTCATCGTGGACGGTTAGTTGTGACGCAACCACACCTTCCAACCTAAGTGAAAATGGTTCCGAGCTGCTTTTATACCGGTACGATTATCAGCAGAAAGCTGACCTCGCAGAAAACGATAGCACCCGGCAGCCCTTACATAACCAGACGCCGGAGCTCGCAAGAATACGCTGTCCCGCATTTCCGGCGGGTCTCTCAATCGTCTTTCGACTCCGACAGACTAGAGAGTCAAGATAGCCACTGGAAACTGTGGAGATATCCGGACAGATTGTCCTCCTTCTCATGCGAACGGAGCGGCTAATAAGATCGGGCCATGGACCTGAGAAATGAAATCGGCGGATCCATAGAATCGATCCCGACTCGTTGTTGGTTTTTTTGCGGAGCCATGCCGTTATCCGGCTACAGCTGCCCCTGCAAGAGGTCCCCGAGTTTTGCTCGATGGATCTGAGCTGAGAATTTGCCATGCCGATTTGTAGACTCCTCTGCAGCGGGAGTTTTCGATGTAGCCATGTATCTCGATTGCAGCATTTCGTTCATTCCGACACCAAAAAAAAATCCGATGCATTTCTTCAGCGTTTCAGTTTATTTTCGGATCAGAGCTCTCGTATCCGTATATACAGTAAATTTCTCACGACTTTCCTCCGAGGGGCCACAAGATTCCTCAAATATTAATTAAGACTAAGAATTTGGTCGTCATCCGTGGTGTACGTCACGACCGAGTTCGGTCCGAGATTTCCCAGCGTCAGTGATGGTATAGCATTACGTCCTTTGGCTTTGGCATGAGTCAGTATATGAGATTTAAGATTAGTCGACTGGGCGAACTTCTTACTGCAGTTGTCGAAAGGGCAAACGTAAGGTCTGTCCCCGGTGTGGATTCGGACGTGCGTCCGCAAGTTGAAGTCCAATGAGAACCGCTTGCCACAGCTGAAATTCGAGGAAGAGGTTCGATTCTCAGAAATGTGACCCGGGTCTCTCAAGCGGAATGCGCGATAATCGACTCATGGGACGATCATCGGGTACTCACCCTTCGAATGTGCACAAGAAAGGCTTCTCGCCTGTATGTACGAGCTGATGCCGCTTTAGTTTACTGCTCTCGACAAAGGCCTTCCCGCATTCCGCACAAACATGCACTCTTGGTCCGTGGGTGTGGAGATGTTTCCGCATGGCTCCGTTGTCTCTGAACATCTTGTTGCATCCCTTGTGCGGACACGCGATGGTCCGCGAAGCATCAACCTGGAGCCAGGAGGATATTTATCAGCAATGAATTGGAAGAGATCCCGGCGGGAACTCACGAAACAGGGCAGAATAATTTGGCGCGAAGGAGTCGGTCGGAAATTTTCTCGGTACCTGTGGCTTCGGTCTCTGGAAACGACACTTGGCCAGTTCCGCGAGTTGCTTCGGGTCTGAGAGATCGACCCCTCCTGAGATTCCGATCCCGGACGACGTAGCGACGTTAGACGTCAATATGGTAGTCGTCCCTGAGGTGTGGCTGCTCTGCATGTAGTCGGTGAAGTCGGGATCGACTTCAACACACGATTCCTCTATGACAGAGATATCGCCATTCTCGTTCCCATTGTCCGAAGCCCACATTGTAACCTTGAATGAGTAATCGAGGATTTAGCGCGGGTTGTCCCTCGGTCACGCCCGCAATCGGAACAACCTTCTCCTGTGGATCGATGGACGGAATCCGGAAGGTATCGGCACCGAAGCTCGACTTACCTGAAATTCCCCCTCGAGTGTTTTGATTTGAACTTGTTTCTGCTCCCATTTTCTCGTTCGTCCATGTGGTTGCGTTGTCGACAGCTGAACTTTCCGAGAGTTCGCGCCCGACTTCCGAGACCTCTTGGAAGCGCTTGTTGTAGCTTGGTCTATGGTTGCAATGAGATTGGCGTCGTCGATGGGGATCGCGATCTCGTTGCCCGCGTACTCTTCGCCGCCCGCGCCGATCACCTCCTCCTGAGTTTGCAAGATGATTTCCTGATCGTCATTGAACTCCTGTGAATTCGAAGGGGATGAGTTCGGCTCAATAAAATCATCCTGATAATAATATATCGTGACATTCACGCAAATCTATATTGTGAGCCTTCTTGACACATACACACGATCTTGATCACAGTGACTATTTCAATACCTGTAGTTCGATGACAGATTCTTCCTGCGGGTTGCCGTCGTTGTCTATGGTGATTTCCACCTCCTGCGGTTCGTCCGTATAAACCTCGCTGCTCTCAATGATGTTGCCGTCAGCGGTGAAATAATCTGGCGGACAGCGACTGGTGAGTGGGATTCGGATTCCGAGGCTTACTAGTTATATAAACGTGAAAGAGCATGCTCAAGTGCCGAATGAACCAGCGACAGCGTCGGTAGGCCACGCGAAAATGACGCACATCTTTCTGTTTCAATCAAATTCGGAGAATGAAGCGATTCGTCGCTTGACGTCAAGAACTTGCGATCTCTGAGCAAACACTACCGGCATTATCTGGATTCAAATCTCAATTGGCTCTTGTTTGAACTCGCATCTGAATAGAGGCCCTGTCAATGATCCTCGTCGGGAGAGGCCAATATCAGTGAAGCTCGCGGTTTCTCTTCTCTGAAGTGGTCCGATTAATTCTCTACAGACTTCAACTAACCGTCCGCGTTTATGACCCGCTCTCCGTTCGCCGTCTCTACGCATATGACTTCTTCTTCGCCTCCGCAAAAATCTCCTGTGACCATTATGCACTCCTCTCCAGGATCCGACATGTCGTCTTCGTTGGCGAGGGACATTCTCCCAAGTTCTCGCTAAGTGGCGCAGACAAATCTGGGAAGAGAAGAGGTTTCTACTGATATCGATCCCTACGAAAGAATATTGGCTGTATTATGATTATGAGTCTCTCCTCGCGAGGAGCACTGTCGATTCCGAGATCGCTCTGACCACGTCTCCGGTCAGGAGTCAGGAGGTAGGAACGACGAGGAGAGATGAGGGTTTCCATCAGGGTCCTCACGCTGCGAGACTGAGGTCAGGAGACTCGGAAGCGTCCGAGACGTCGATTACTCGGGATTCATCGGGACTGTGCCTGACCTCCTCAATACCACCAGAACCGACATATATATCCCATACAAGAAAGTCAGCATAACTCTCTGACGGCCAAAGACTCCCAAATCGGCTGTTGAATGAATTTATTCACTCTTGTGAGCTCTGTTATCGTATATAAATATGGAAAACAACGAGTCGCCTTCTGCGAGCCCGAGAAAATATACGCCTCCCGTCGGCGATCGATATAAATGTGTAAAAATAATAACTTGACATCGATCCGACCACGATCGCCCATTTCCATCGCATTATCTCTCATTCTCACTCAAACTTAAATATCGACACACAACCGCGAAGATCGAGCGTGTTGGGGAAACAGACCCCCGATTGATAGATTGAATTATCGATCCGAAAGTGGATCTGGTAGGTCGTTCGATGCGAACAATCAAGTTGCGTGAAGCGAGAGGATCAATCCAGTCACAAACTTTGGTAGGGGAAATTCTCTCTCCATGTTCGCGAATTCGGGAGGAAAAAACAAATGCCTGCCCGACACGGCGGATTGCTCTGGTGTGAACTGACAACATGTGCTTCGTTTTGGCAGCAGGAAAACAATTACCACGCCCATCATATATCTACACGACAGCGCGTTCTCGGCGTACAGGTGGATACGGCGGTCAAACCAATGCTGAATGCCCATTCATTACAACTGGTTGTTGTAGTTGTCGTGGTGCTTGTATCTGCTCAGGCCGGTTCTGTTGTTGTGTCGGCTCAGGTGGTTTCTGTTGCTGCGATGTGGCTGCCACTCTATCCGGCGGCCAATCTAAGTCCACATGGGTCACGTCCAGAGCCTCAATATCCACTTGTTCGGCTAAGATTGTCCGTACGTTCGGCAGCGTTCTACCCATATCCCCATGAACGAACTCCTTGACGTACGTCCCTGCTTGCGTGCAAACCGTGAGCTTGAAATGGTTGGCGTCCTGAATTTCGACCGACGCCGAATGAATTGTGCGTTCTCGTACCATGGCCGTTCGTCTGTGCAGGACACGCATGGGCGTGTTCTGTTTGAGCACAACATTGTCAATAGACGTGAGCTTGCTAAAGTCGACTGTGCTCGTGTCTTTCGCCGTGACACAATAGGCACAATAGAATTTTCTCTTGTTTTCTTCGCCGGTTTTGAGATCCTTGATTTGCTCCCTGTTGATCAACTGGAACCGATTTACGGAAATATCGCTAGTGGATGAGTTGATTTCCTCTTCGATTTCTGCGCATTCCTCCGCCGACCACTCGATTCGTTTCGGGCTCCATACCTCGAGCAGGAACGGTCGTCCTTCGCCCAGCATTCTCACGTCGACGTCCTCGCGTCCCGAGGACGAAAACGTGATGCGTCCACAGCGCACAAAACGTTTCACTACGTTCGTTATCAGCTCTTCGACCGAATCCTTCATTCTTCGTGCGCCGTCGATAATCCACGGGGTCTGGCTTAGTTCCCGACTGAACTTACAGTAGCGACCGGCAAAATAAATCTGATTGTGGCCACAGGTAGCTGTCGCAGCATCCGGACTGCTGGTGCTTTCGGGAGGGAATTTAAACTCGCGTATAAAATCTTCGTCGGACGTTTCCTGAAGGAAAGCCGTGATGGCTTTCGTGGAAAACTCCTGCTCTTCTTTTTGGTTGCGTTTGTATTTCTTCTTCGGTTTCGCCGACAGCTTGACGATTGCCTGGTGTTCGGCTTCTCGGAATTCACCTTTGAGGACGATGTTAACTTGGAATGAAGCAGCGGGACAGAACTGGACTTTGAATTCATCCTCGAACAGGCTCCCGATCACATACTTGACACAATCTTTCACCGTGGCGAGAGAGTCTTCGCTGAAGTTGTACTCGAATTTGCTTTTCAGCTGAAGATAAACGAGCCGCTGGCGGATCAACGTCACCGCCGGCACCGAGATCGAGAGCAGGAAATCATCGAATGTACAGCTCGACAGAGCAACTGCGTCGGCAACCGTTTCGAATGTTTCGAAAATGAAGCCTGGATCGAGGATGCCGAGGCACGAGGGACAGGTCGTTCGCTGCACTCGTTTCCTCTGCGGTTCGTGGGGATGCTGCCATTCTTCGAAAAGCTTGCAATAGACCTCCTGTTGTTTTTCTCCGAGATAGCGCAGCACACACATGGAGCACAAGTCGTGATTCAAGAGGAAATTCTTGATGTTTTCGCGAAGTTCGGCGTACATGATGCGACCGGGCCCGACCCGTCGCGGACGGCACAACTGATGACACGGGGTCGAGGCAAACTTCGAAGATATCTTAGCTCTGTTCGAGAAGAATATTTAGCCGTGTTGCTGGCTTACGGCTCTCGTAGTGTTGGTGGTGGTGAAAGGGGGACGCCATTGCTCTTATGGCGGCGGGGATTGTCCACCATTTTCACTATGGCCGTGCAGTAATGGAGGACGGTCGTCACCGCGCGAAAGCAGTCGTTGACATTTTTGGAGAAAGCGACAGAATTGAGCGCTTTTTAGGAAACTGCACCCGAAGCCCACTTGAAACGCTCCCACGAGAGACTACAAACTGTTAGGCCTGCCTTTCTTGAGACTTACCACAGGTGAATCCGGGCTCCGCTAGTGAGCGCTTCTCGTCGGAGCTCCGTTCTGGATGAAACCCCAGGTGACAGAAGGAGAGCACAAGTCGGGAACGTAGGACACCTGAGCAAAAACCACGAATTACTGGCTGGTCTCCACCGAATAAGCTTCAGATGAGCCTAGTGATACCATTGAGCGCTTTGTGGTTCGTTGGTGGCACGCTCCCGTCACAAACAAAACAACGGCGAGTGAGCGTCGGTTGTCGGGACTCTCTCCCGCTTTCGTTCGATTGCATTCAGCTCCGACCGGGGCTCAATCATACATGAGCTTGGAATCCTCTCGGAAGTTACGATTGCGTACGGTCCCTCCAGAGTTGTCCCCAGAAATCATAGGCGTCAGCTCGGGTGGTCGATGAGAAAATTGTAATTATCGCCGATTATCCGTCGTGGGATCAATCGTACTCCATAACCGCTCTTCGGTCGATTGCGAATAATTATCTGGTAATTCTATCTCCGGTCATCATTTCGGGCATCACTTACGAAATCTCACCGAACGGAGACCGTCCCCGAGGGTGTTTATCCGGCATACTCGCTCGGCGACGAGATGCCCCGCGGTGTGGTACTGCCAGGTACCACGGTTCAAACTGCCCGCCTCCTTGCCGGAACAGAGCCCTCTCCCAAACAATCTTCTTTTCAAATGTTTACAAAGTTAGTCTCTCTGCGCCCCTCTTCACGTGCTGCTTCTCCGCGTGGTGATAGTGTTTTGTATTCCGCGTGATTAGAGCTCCTCGGAACGCGAGCGACGAGGCATGGAGGAATTTTTCCAGTGTTGAATCTGATATTCCTTTCATCTCTGGAAATTTAGAGCTCACAAGCAAGTGCCAAAATGGGAGAAGTGGATCCGATGTCGATCTGCAGCGCGGTGACGAATCTTTCCTTCACTACAATGTCTTCAGAGGAAATTCTGAGGCAAAGTGTTATGGAAATCACGAATGTTCAGACTTTTGACCTCATTGGACACCCCACTAGAGGGGGACTGTACGATTCCCGGATGGGTAAGATCAGGCAAAAATAACGGAAAATATAAATGAAACAGGTGATCAATTATTTTCAACTGTTCGCCAACTTGCCGTCACCCTCCGTTTCAAATTCTTCCTATCGTAGGTGCTCTTGAAAGAGACGAGGTCTGTGATACTTGCTCATTGTCTCAACTGCACTGCCCTGGTCATCTCGGTCACGTTACTTTACCCCTTCCCGCTTTCAACCCGATATACTTCAGAGACCTGCACAAACTCCTTCGAGGCAGTTGTCTCTCATGCCACAGATTGCTGTCACCACCAGCGGCAAGTCAGCTCATATTGGCGCAAATGCAGGTCCGTATTCGCAGCCTACGCTTTGCAGTGATCGAACATGATGATCGTCTCCGAATCTCTGAGGTCGAAATATCAAATGGCGTTTTTTTCCACCAGGTGCTCGACTACGGTCTCGTGGGGATCGCTGGGGAAATCGAAGAGGTGGCCACCGAAGTCATCAATTGTATGACCGCACAAAAATGTGACCAGAACGATATCGGTAGTGAAGTGAGACGGAAAATTCAGAAATATCTCGAAAACAAACAGCTGACCGGCGATGATCCGCGTCACGCGGCGGACGTCAAGAACGTGGTTGAAATGAAGCACACGCTCGTCAAGAACTTCGTACAGAAACATCTGATGAGGGCTCGGAAGAAGTGCTCGTTTTGTGGAGACACAAAGACAAACATCCAAGTGCAGGAGGTGGCTCGATTCATTTTCAGTTCGAGTAAAACAGCCTCCAAGCCGAGCTCGACGAGCAACGTAGAAAAGTGAGCCGCACGAAACTGTGGAATCCCCCAATTCTTGGCTCTCATCGATCTTTCGATCAGCACACCTGCATGTGTCTCTGTGAGTTTTGGATGAGGCTGATCCCGATCGCTCTTGCAGGATTTTGCGCAAATCTCTATACAACGAAGAGCCGGACGACTGCGAAGATGATACGCTCGTCCTCAATGAGGAAGACGAGAGGAAGTTCCTCAAAGCGGAATATGTGGAAGGTGGTTCGCAGACTTTTCTCACCGCAGTGCAGGCTAGGAAACACCTGCGAGAGCTTTGGTTGAAAGAACATACGGTCCTGGGGTATTTGTTCGGCGCCATGCGAGAGGCACAGGCTCGAGGAATCGAACACCCCACCGATTTGTTTTTCATCGAAGTTCTTGCGATAAGTCCGCCGAAGTTCCGTCCGGTTAGTCGCGAAGACGACGAAGATTGTCATCGGTCCCGATCTCTGATTTTCCGTGGAATGCGGAACTACCGCGGAATTATTATTCACGTCAATGACATTTCCCACAGTGCAATTTCATGAATGGTAGGAAGTACGAGCACCAGTTAACCACGTGCCTCAACCGAGTGGTTCGGACAGCTCATGACCTGCAGGACATCCTGGTCGTTATGAAAGCGAATGAGTCCGACGGGCCTAAAGAACAGAAAATGGAAATTCTCAAGGTAGGATCAGCCGATCCGAGGCATTTATGGTATTTCCAGAAGAAATTGATTACAACTAAAATACGATGACGATTCACAGTCGTTTAAATATTTGTCAGACACGAAACTCGCTCCCAAAGAGAGTCGATCTTCTACATTTATCTCTTCTCAGCAGAAATTCTCTCCACCAGATGAACGTCAGCACACTCGAACCGGCAGGAGCGGATCTCACCATCAAGCTCCACCATCACTGGAAACTACTTCAAGTCCGAATAAACGTTCTCTATGACAGCGATCTCGATAGGAACTCCAAAGAGAAAACAGGTGTCAAACAAATTTTAGAAAAGAAGGCCGGACTCCTTCGTAAACACATGATGGGTAAACGGGTGAATTACGCTGCGCGATCGGTCATCTCACCCGATCCATACATTAATGTGGACGAAATCGGCATTCCAATGGTCTTCGCCACGAAACTCTCCTACCCCACACCGGTGACGCCGAGGAACGTTGACCAGCTCCGCAGGGCCGTCATAAATGGGCCCGACCAGTATCCAGGCGCTCTGTCCGTCGAATTCGAAGACGGTAGGAAAATTCGTCTCGACGTCGCTTCGCTTACTAAACGCGAGGGAATCGCCAAAACTCTCCTCACACCGAATCCGGACGGCTCGTTGAAGAACGCCACGAAAATCGTCCATCGTCACCTACAATCTGGAGACGCTCTGCTCCTCAATCGTCAACCGACTCTTCACAAACCGTCGATCATGGCGCACAGGGCGCGTGTGCTCCGAGACGAGAAAACTCTTCGTCTGCATTACGCGAACTGCAAGAGTTACAACGCTGATTTCGACGGTGACGAAATGAACGCTCATCTGCCACAGAGTGAATTAGCCAGATCCGAAGCGTACAATATCGCTAGCGTCAACTATCAATATCTCGTCCCCAAGGACGGGACTCCCCTTTCGGGTCTGATCCAGGATCATGTGATCGGAGGAACGATCCTCACCATGCGGGACAAGTTTTTCAATCGGGAAGACTATCAGAAATTGGTTTTCGGTGCTCTAACCTTCATCGAACGGAAGATCCTGACGTTGCCTCCAGCGATCCGGAAACCGGTCGCGCTCTGGACGGGGAAACAAATCGTGTCGACCATCATCCTCAATTGCGTTCCACCCGCGGTTCCCCCGCCGACCGTTTACGGCAAGACCAAGGTCCCGGCCAAAGCGTGGCCGAGAACGGACACGATTCTCGATCCCCACCTCGCGGAAGATTTGGTTGTCATACGTGACGGTGAACTGCTGTGCGGAGTTCTAGACAAGGCCCACTACGGGCCGAGCCAATATGGATTGGTGCACGTTTGCTACGAGCTGTACGGTGGCGAAACGTCTTCTCTGGTTCTCAGTGGCTTCGCTCGACTGTATACCCATTACCTGCAGATGTACCACGGGTTCACCCTCGGTATCAAGGACATCCTCGTCACACCGGATGTAAGCGCTGTTTTCGAAAATAGCGAAATTCCAATCAGTACGTGATGAATTGCTTGGCCTTGAAAAAATTGACGGGAATATGTTCAAACCGATTCATTTGCCGTAGGCGAACCGTAAAAGGAGGAAGATCATGCGACGTAGGCGACTTGGAGGAGATAAAGTCGCTCTAGAGGCTCTGAACGCCGAAAACGATGAGCTCTCACCGGAGGAAGTCAAGTCGAAGCTGAGAGCGGGACATCTGAACCGCGAGGACAAGTTCCTCAAGGTTTGGGATGCCTCGATGAAAAAGCTGACCGACAGTATCAACAATGATATCAACAAGTGAGTTCATGCCGTCTAGCGTTATATTCAGTTCGGCTCCAGGCGCATTGTATTTCGCTGCGCCAAAACCTATCGTCGGCTCTTTCATAATCGAGGAGTTCTCTTCCCAGAGCTTGCATGCCCGACGGTCTGCAGGTGGGATTCCCGCAGAACAATCTGCAACTGATGGTTCAGTCGGGAGCCAAGGGTGGGATGGTCAACTGCATGCAGATCTCGTGTCTTTTGGGACAAATCGAACTCGAAGGTCGGAGAGTGCCGTTGAACGCAGCCGGTCGCTCCCTGCCGTCCTTCAAACCGTATGATACTTCTCCGCGTGCCGGTGGATTCATCGACGGTCGTTTCTTGACCGGAATACGTCCGCAGGAATTCTTCTTCCATTGTATGGCCGGTCGTGAAGGATTGGTCGATACCGCCGTCAAAACCAGTAGATCCGGATACCTCCAGAGGTGTCTGATCAAGCATCTCGAGGGACTGATGGTGAACTACGATCAAACAGTCAGAGACTCGGATGGTTCTGTGATCCAGTTTCAATACGGCGAAGACGGTTTGGACATCCTGAAACTGCAGATGCTCAAGAGGAAACAGTTCCCAGCGCTGATACGAAACGCGCCCGCCCTGATCGATACGGATCATATTGAACAGACACGCTCGGTCACCGATAATGAGGCTTTACAGAAGATCACCCACAAGGTGGCAAGATACCAACGGAAGATCGCCAAAGGCCGTCGACGTGAGAGCCCCTTCACGGTATTTTCCATCCAGAACGAAGCCGAGTTCAAAGCGACCTACCCGGACAACGATCCCACCACGGGTCAACCCATGTACAGGTCCCATTTGATCCGGGCCTACTACGCGCTGAACGAGAAAGACCGCAAGCAGCTCCGGAAGCAGGTCGTCGCTCCTATGGATCCGCTCACGAGTATTCTCCGACCGGATCTTCACCTCGGTTCCCTCGGAGAGAAATTGCACGACGATGTGAGTCCAGACCTTACACGAACCCAGGGAGAAATTAATTTTTAAGCTCTTGCTTCAGGATCCCGATTTCCCGATATGAGTCGAGTCAGGGAAGATTTCCCCGCCGGAACTTTTTCCCCGAAGCTCAGCTCCTGCTTCTCTTACAGATCGAGGACTACATTGCAGTCAATCCCGATAGGTTACTGTTGACGGATAACTTCAACAAGCACGAAGTCAAAGTGCTCGAGCCTTCTGATTTTCGGGATATGTTGTACTCGATCTATCAGAAAGCTCTGACTTGTGCCGGTGAGCCCGTTGGCTTGCTCGCCGCCCAGGTGGGTTTTTTGGCCACGATCCAATTGTAGAGGCTCTTCACGCCGCCGATCCATGATACGCCTCTCCGCATCAGATTATGTGCAAAGAGGCCACTTGACGATCGAATAGCGAAATCAGCTCTGATGACCGATGCGAGGAAAAACATTACCGCTTCGGACAGATACGGCTTAGACATCCATCCTCGAATAGATCGAGCGTTCGATCGATCGCTCATTCAGATGAATTTCCGACGTTTTGGACCGAGGATTATCCGAGTCGGTCAACTCATAAAGTCCCTCTCGAATCCACAGAGTATCGGAGAACCTTCGACGCAGATGACATTGAATACTTTCCATTTCGCCGGAAGAGGCGAAATGAACGTCACGCTGGGAATTCCTCGACTTCGTGAAATCCTAATGGTGGCGTCGAAGAACATCTCGACCCCGTCTATGAATTTGCATCTGAAAAAAGCCGCTTCGGTCGAGCCTCGCGCAGAAAAGCTCCGTGTTGGAATCTCTCAGGTTTCCCTTCAGCAGGTTCTGGAATCGGTTACCGTCACCGAACGTTTGGAGATTTCGGTTCCAGGACGGAACTTCAGAGTATATCAGATTCGCTTCGATTTCCTCCCTTTCAAAGCCTATAAGAAGTCGCTGTACACGAATCCATCGAAAATCCTGCGATATATGGAAACGAAATTCGTGATGAAATTAATCGACGCTCTACGGAAAAAACTGGTGCTAGTCAAGAGCGCGCGGATGGTTGACGTCGGATCGCGGGTCTCCAGAGCCGCTGCCAACGACGACGACGATCGAGAGCAGGTAGGTCACGAGAGACTCAACGATGAGAGAGGATCTAGACGTCGCGCTCGATTGCCAGGAATAATTTCGGGCAGCAATCGCTTGCTCCTCATCGATACTTCCCCGTTCGATTGCAGGAACGAGTCAATTTCAATGAGGACGACGATGGAGATTCATCCGGTGATGACGAAGGTGCCGAAGGAGAAACCAATATTGAGTTCCAACGAGAGAAGCACGACGACGACAAGGACTACGATGAGCCCGAAATGGAGGAATATCAAAAATCATCCGACGGTGAGTCGCGTTGCTCTCCCGCTTTTTGCGTTTTCCCTTACTCGAGTCCGAGTGAATCTCGTACTTCAATTCCTCCCGGGAGCTATCGCTCGAATGGCAGCGGATGACTCCGAGCCCTTCCCGATATCAGCCATGGATATTTTGCCTTTAGTCCATTAGTGAGTTCGTCCGGGAAGCCCCGAGGGAGTCAGCCAGTCGGGTCGTGTCCGAAATTCGGTATGCGACTCGAAGGCTCGTTCAGCATACATACAAACGTACATAAATGCACGCGCGCATGCATGCATACTTACATATGTTACTTCCCCATTAATACAGAAGATGAGGGAATCGACGAGGAGGAATTCGCTCCGACTCTCGAGGAGCTTCGACCCAAAGATCCCCAGACATCCGAGTCGGAAGCCAACAATTCGCGCAGCGAACACCTGGTCATGAGGATCAAGAACAAGAAGCTGAAAGCTCAGAAGAAGCTCCGAGCGAATGTGAGTTCAATTTAGAAGAGAGGAATAATTTCGTATCCTGGAGTGATACGGAATAATCTCTCATGCTGGAGTGACACGGATTAATTAGACCGGGGATCGGCTCCGAAGGCTGCTTTCCAAAAACCATCTCAATTCCAGAATGTCATCAACTATCACACGTGGGTGACTGGCTATGACTTCGATACGGAGAGAGAGGAATGGTGTGAGGTGACCTTTCAGTTGGAAATGCAAAATTCCAAGTTTGATATGAGCAGTCTAGTCGAGGAGGAAATTAAAAATTCGCTGCTGCACTCCGTCAAAGGAATTTCGAGAGCCTTCCTCGTCAAGGACAACGACGACAGGTCAGTGGACCATTTCGACGCCATTCTTCTGCTCGCCAATAGCGAACGCCTCATCTGGCGTATTTTAATTTATGATTTCTTCGCGCACGACTTCGAGAAGAGGCATTGTTTCATCCATCGAAAGATTGATCGACCCTCGCTGTCATCGGGGACAGAGAGGATTCCTCGAGAGCGAAGTAGACGCCGAGTAATTAGAATTCCATTCGGGACCCATTGCAGGTCGGGCTGTGGGAAAATGCTGCAGACCGAGGGGGTGAACTTCCAGGAGATGTTCAAGTACGACGATATCATCGATATGCGACGGATCTACTCGAACGACATCTATGCGATTTCGCAAGTTTTCGGCATCGAAGCTGCGACTCGAGCCATCGTCAAGGTGAGGTTTTCGATCGATCAGACATATCTCGGAAGTGAATCTGGAAACTGTTTGAACCAGTCCCGCTGAAACTCGAGGGGCCTCAGCGCGAAGGCGTTTTTTTTTCTCGTGCGTTCTGAGGAAGAAGAAATCAATCAGACGGGAAGTTTCGGCGAGCCGGCCTACCGCTAAAAATTCCCCATTACCAGTTAGCTGAGTATGACTAGTAGCCCCACCCTCCTAAAGGTGAACGACCTGAGTATATGTACGGCTTGAGTGGGTACACAAGGCGGTTGAAGCGTAAACAAGCTCTGTCCAGACCCAGACCGGCGGGAACGTTCGATCTGGAAAATGTCTACAAGTCGGCTCTTGGAGCGGACAGTGCTCTATGCGGATGGCCGCAATCGGAAATGTATTCCTTCTCGACCACTTGTTCCCCTCGCACCGATGCAGCCTGTCTCGTCGCTACGTATGATTCCCCACTCGGTATTCGATCGTCCCGGCTTGGGTTCTAAGCTCTCAATCAGACAAGTTCCGCATGCGGGTCGGATAATATTCTGGGAGAAATCCGGGGAGCGTCTTGGGAACCTTTAAGCTCCCTGCCCTTCGGGCAGTCCTCGGCTACTTCCCGTGAACGCGGTTCCCGTGTCCTTGGAGAACGGAGTACGAGCCGCTTCGAGTCGGAGAAATCCGGAGGTTCCGTTCGCTGAGGAACAGCTCTTCGTTGAACGAAGCTCCGGAGGAAGACCGAATTTTCCAAGAGGGGCGTGAAGGCTGCTTGTCGCGGTATGAGAAGGTCCGTCATTCTCGTTGCGTGTTGCTCAATCCTCTGAAGGTTGTGAGAGCTCCGCCGCGACGGTAGAAGTAAAATTTCAGTCCGTTTTCCGTGGAACGCGGGGAGAGGTTAAGGATGGGAGATTCGAGAGAACTGTCGCGAGACACGCATCACGACGGAAATTCGACGAGGATCTAGGAGTCCGACTGCGCGGGATTAGATCCCGTTTCTCGAGTCATTTCCGAAACTCTTTTGTGGCTCCGCGCTCTCTCATTCCTCCAAGCCCGAGGGAAGCTCGTTTCGAATGCTCTTATTCAGGAGGAACGGCCCCAGTTTTTAGTCACGCTTCATCCTCATCCTTTATCCCTCGTCTCTGGCGGGGAATCACCGTAATCTCGCCCTTCCGATGCTGAAGGCCCCGGCGTCCATCCACGGAAACGTCGAGGCTTCTGATTCCCCCGCGGCGAGATTCACCCCGCTCAACCTCCTTCCGGTCGAAACTCGAACATCATCGGGTATTTATGCTTAAAATCCTGCATTCCGAGAAATCGATCAAGATTCTTCGGAGTGACAGCCGCCTGTCTCCATCCGGGCCTGCGGTTCCGATCCGGCGACTGGAGAACTCCGTTCTCCCATGCGTCCATTAACTCCCGAGTGGAGTTTGAACAAAGTTTGCGAAGCCTGAGCAAGATAAAGCATACCGAAAAGAGCGATGAATGAGAGGCATGGATGCCGGGCCAGAAGCTGTTGGAGCGGCGCGAATGGCCGGCCGTTCAATTGCCGCCCTCGCTACGACAAGCTGGCCGTCTGTAGCGGAGGAGCGATGGCGGCCGAAGACCCCGCCGTTTATCTGCGAGAAGACTCGTCTTCAAATTCGAATAGGAACTTATTGAGTGGAAAATTTTGGAGATTCTCTCGCGAGGCAGCAACTCCCGCTCGGAGTGGGTTGGTCGATTAGTTCGCCGCCTCTTCCCGCTGCCGCGTCGTCGTCGAGCTCCTCCGTCGTTTCGGAGATTCCTTTGGCGAGTGTGGGCACCGATTCTGCGCCTCTCCGCTCCTCTCGGGCTTTTGGCAGTCTTTGGAATTACCCATGCGCCCCATGTTTCCCTATTCTTGTATTGCCTCTCACAAGCGCCGCGGGTTGCGTCTCCGTGAGCGCCGAGGGAATCGACAGCGGCGCGGCGGCTACGACCGAGACCAAAACGGCGACAACAGAACGCGACGGGGCGACAGCGATGGTGTCATTGAGGTGGAGCCGTTTCGTAGCGGATGATTACCCCTGATTTATCGGCAAGTTTTGTGGAGATGCTTGTTATTTATTGAATGTGGAAATGTCGCGCCATTCGATGTCTGTCGGAGCAAATTCTGCATCAATTGGCTTTTGGCCTTTCTCAAAGATGCTCCCGATCTGTCTTGTTTCGGAGAACAATCTCGCGGAATTCCCTTCACGGAACGCTCGGCCACCGGTCGGAAACGACGTCTACTGGGCCGGCGCGACGGCTCAGAGCCGATCCGCGTCGGAGAGACTCCATCGACGAATCTGGCGGAACGGGGAAACGATCGACGTCCCTACGAGATGCGATGCGGACGTGGAGCTCTTGTGAGCGCTCGTTCCAAATTAGCTGGGTGGGCTCGACCGGTGGTTAGCTGCGTTCGGATGAGCAAATGAAGTATTCAAACGAGCAAGGAGCGAGGACCGAATAATATCATAGCTCCGCTCAATCCAGAGGTGGATTTGCCCGCCAGCCATTCATCCCTCCTACGAGTGGGCCGCTCATGCTCGGCCCAGGGGCACGCAGCGGTGGAACGAGTTCTTCCTCTCGCGACCTATCGTTACCCGTCTCACCATATTCGCTCCCCCTTCTAGCATTAGCACGAACCAAACGAGTGAAGTACGCTCTCTTAACGCGCATTCGCGTGCTCTAGTATATACAGTAGAATGAATGTGTGGGTGTGCAACGAGGAAAGACACCACGCAAGGGTCGTTTGGGTTTTTTGCCGGCGCTGCGCCGCTGCTACTGCTGTTGGAACATTTAGAGCCGAGCCCGAAACACGGGATTCAGTGCCTGGACTGGAGGCAGCCGTCAGGAGGAGGAAAGGAGAAAGCATACCATGAGAGCGAACTTGCCGAGTATGCTTCGGGAGCCGAGAGCTATGATGAAGCTTGGGCTGTGGGTCGGGGTTGCGCGGGCTCACACGGGGAGAAAAAATCGAGTGAAATATTTGAAGCACCAACGTCACTATAGGCAACAGCTGTAATTCCGCTCCCGCCCGGAGGCTGGAACGTAGTCGCTGACCGCCACAGAGACGCATTCGTCGAGGGGAATTTTTAAGCCGAACCAAAGACGACGCCAAGTCGCATGCGAGCACGCACGCATGCAGATGGCGTTGGTCATCTGTATTTTATGGAGACAAATTGCTCGGTCGCCGCTGTCGCCGCCTAATTGTTCCGGCGTAAATCGTATACGACAACACGAAATACCCTCCATAGTCCTAGAGCTGCTCGGCCGTTTGTCTACATTGTACTCAGGCCTAAAGAGCTTCCGAGTTCTGGTCGAGGGTTTCTCGGCGAACTGGTCAGTTGGTCGCCCTGTCGAAAGTCCCCGGCTGTCTCCGTGCATTTGCATCGTGGTACGGCACAGGATTTCGGGGAGAAAAAGGCAGGCAGGCGGCCATTCGCACCGAAACTCGGAAACGGAAAAAGACATATGGCGGGAATACGTGACGCGTTCGCAGGAAATTGCGTTTTGGAGTTTGTCTTATTTGTACTTTTTTCCGTTCGTTCATCTTTCCTCGTTCTCGCAGGAAGTGACCTCCGTGTTCGGAGTGTACGGAATCGAAGTGGACCCTCGCCATCTGAGTTTGGTTGCCGACTACATGACGTTCGATGGCCAATATCGGGCTTTCAACAGGATCCATATGGGCAACAACGCTTCACCGTTGCAGCAGATGAGTTTCGAGACTACGTGCTCGTTCATGAAAAACGCAGCGCTGCTCGGTGAGTACGTCCGCAAGGAACTTCCGCTGCTCTCCCCGGTCCTGCTCGCGCCGGGAGCAAAGAAGAACCATTCACGCCTTCCGCATAGTCTCCGATTTGAGTCATGTATGCTATTTTTCTTCGCAGGTTTCTCCGACCGTCTCACATCCCCATCATCGAGTCTCGTGATGGGCCAGCTCGTTGGAGTGGGAACCGGCATCTGTGAGATGTTAGGGAACATTCCGCATAGAGGTAACAATAAATTCGGACTGTAGGCGTCATAATTTATGTTCATCTGAACGCAAGGAACTGTCGGGGTCGGTGCAAATCGCTGCGCCATCGCGGAAACGGATCGAATTTATGACGGTCACGCTGTACAGAGCTGGAATGCGAGTTCCTTTTCTGAGGGACCTGAGAAGATCTTTGAATAAAACACAATTAAAATATCCCGTGGTGCTCTTCCATTCCGTCTCTTGTCAACGATTACCAGGGAGAGGAGGACGGCCATCTAACTCATGTCTTGTGAACGGCCGAGCGTTAGATAATGAGGACGATTGCAATAATATAAAAATAATACATCGTGCGGCAATAAAATCCGATGGCCACACTTACATCCTGAGCATTCATCTGAATGGCACCCATTGTATCTAATCTGTAGGTTCGGGACTTCGGGACCGGGACTATTTTTTTCCCTCTGTTGTTGTCCTCCCATTGTCAAGTGTTGCGAGCTTCACGGATGTTCGTAGAGGAGCAATTCGACGGCGCAACCGGGTATTGCGATTGCGGCATAATTCCACGAGTTGGCTATTGGGGCGAACGAGCGAACGGCACGCTTAGCCGACTAGCGCGTTCGTCTAGGTTTAGCTTTTCGAACACCACGGACAGCGGTGGCTGGCAGCCATTATCTCTTCTGTAGCTCCCTTCGGGCTCATCGGTTTGTATTGTCTGTTAACATTAGGGCTAATACCTCGCTCTTTCGGCTTTTCTCTCAATCCCCTCCAGTTTCGCCGCGAGTCAACTCTATCGTCGACTTCCTCGCGCTTCTTCTCCAACCCCGCTCTTATTCCTCTCCGTGCGTTGGTCTTCTTCTTCCTTCTCGTCCTCTTCCTCTCAGTAAAGTATCTCATCACGGTTTTATAGCTCCCTAAGATGTGAATTCCCCTTTTTTATGGGGAGAGCTAAGGGGTCTTGAATTACCGAGGTTAGGGTGTATGTGCTCGCTCACTCGTTGTGCAAGCGTTTCTTTCTATAGGTTCCTCGGATACGGTCGGGAACTCGGTCGACTGTTGTGTTTTTGAGCCGGTCGACCCGATCCCGAGTCAGTTCTCCCTGTGCGGTATTCGAGACATGAGCTCGGAGTGCGACCGAGAAGATTCGAACGGAGTTGTCACGGAGATGTCTCGACTCATCGCAGCTCCGAGCTGTCCCGGAGCCGAGACTCCATCCTTACCTCCCCGTGATCCTCGGAGTGTTTTATTGACCTCGAAAATGAGTGTATAGATGGATTCTCCGCGCTCTACAGAGAGGTTTTCCCTCGCGAGGTCTGAACACGCATCTCGAATCCTAAAACGTATCAGTGGAGTCGAGTGGTGGGAGCTTCGATCGACGATCGACCAATCGAATGGAGATAGATTGAATTCGGTGAGGGAAAGGGTAATCCATCGCGCTGTCATCACGAAGAAATCCAAGAGATCGTGAGCTAATGTCAGATTCAGACGAATGAATAGTCTGCGAATATTCCCGATGCTCCATCCACGTAGCGAAAATCCGAGGCCCTGACGAATCTTTCGCGTCACAATAAGTTTGATCTGTTCGGAACCGAAAAACTGTCCCCCGAGGAATTCGGAGCCCGGCTTCGACGGACATCTGCACTACGAAGAGTTTTGGCTTGAAGTCCCAGTCGCAGCCCTTGGTGTTCTCAGCCCGTTGCAGCGTCTCATTGCCGGTCCAAAGTCATCCTTGCCTTCAAAGGAATATCACGATAGTACTCCGTTCGGTGATGAGGTGAATCATTTCTCAGTGATGCAACGGATGTGGATCAGGCCCACTGTCCTTGAGCCGACACCGACAGGAAATTCGCGGTCTTGGCGCGATTCGTTGATTGTACCTCTCGACTTCGGACGGAGAAATAGCCCGCGTCGCGGACGGAGCGATAATGGCCGCGAGGACCTTCGATTCGGACAGACCTGTTATTTTGATTTGGTGAAGAGCACGTCAAGCACTCACACACAGACCGGCGAAATGAGAGACCGGCGGGAATGCCTAACGAGCATTTAACGAGCCCAGGGTCAGATGTCCGTCGTAGATCTCATCAAAGGCGTAATGAACATATTGAAGAAGTCGTACTAACCCGAGCCAAAGGCACGCACCGACTGTCCGGCTAATGGTCGTTCACGGAGCATGACAAAGGCTCAATTGAAAACGAGCAGCCCCCGTGCTCGACCGCGAGTCGCTACGGGCTGACCAACTAGTATCGTCGACGTCTACTCGTGCTGCCGGGAAGCTCGAATGCAAACTTTATTTCATTAAAATCCGTATGGCTCTAATGAACTGTCGGCAGGGAATCTGCATGCATTGGGAATGCAACTTCTGAATCCTGACACGCCCCCATTAGAAATATTTATAAACTCTCCCGTGCCAGACGTCCCTGCTGAGTTCATTCGTAATTTGAGATTCGTTCAAATGCCGGACGATCCCGTCTATCCGTTTCAAACTCTGGCTGAACAGACAGGCCAGCTTTATCGACTGTGATAATGCCCTCTCGGTGGAAGAGCATTGTTCCAACAAGCGCCTCTGGAGACGAAAGAAGGGCTCCGCTTTGACTTCTGTCCCTCGTGGAGCTGAGTGTCCCGTCCGACGCCTCCGTCCTCGACGACGATTCGCAATGGATGGATCCGATTATGAAATAGGCGGACTTACTCACTCAGGAAAATACATTTTTATTATGAGGTTGATTTTTTTATTCGTAAATCCATTCAATCGCTTCCTGAATTCATACTTGTGACTAGTGCGAACATACACACGGAATACGATTCAATTGTAGTAGGAAAATAAATGTTGATTGGCAGATAAATTATTATGTATGGTACAATGTCCGTCTCTGCTTTCCACTGAGACTCGTTATATACAGATTTCAATCAGGGAGGTTGTATATTTACAATGGCAGTCCATCCACGGCATAAGCGAGTGCTAGAGCCCTCATGAGCGGCGGATCACCAGGGCAAGTACCGCAAACCCCAGGAGTAAATGCATCGATGACTTCAAACCGGAAGCTCCGAGAGTCACATAGTAATTGCATCTGTCTCCCGTGCAACATTCTGAGCACTCCCAATCGTTGTACCAGATCCGATCGCATCTCTTGGACTGGCGTCGGATCGTGTACTCACATACGGTCTGATTCGAACACCATTTTGAAACGTAAAACTGTTTTTCGCCCGTCGGAGCCCAGTAAGGCGTCGAGCCCCACCGAACCTCTGTCATGCAGCGGTCCTGATGGGGCTCACATAACTGGATGGTCGATGTGCATTTGGCGTTGTTCTCGTCTTGGTTCGTGCAGATGTAGCACTCGAGACCGAAGCACACGGGGACAAGGAAAGCACCCAGAACGGTGGTGACTAAGGCACTAGGAATCCTCATGATGGCTGGCGATGATTCGGATCCAGGGGTGAAGTTCGAGCTCTCGCTCCGTGCCGCTCGGCACCACGAGATTGCTGGGAGAAATCTCGGCCGCGAGGACAACCCGCTTTGAGACTCCGAGGCGAATCGCACTGTCACTAACCGGGATTCGGTGTCAAGCAGAACGGGACACAGAACGCTAGAAGGGGCCCAACGTTTATTTGGTTGCCACGGCGACCGCTCCGTCAAACGCTGCAGATGAGGTGGCGCGGAACCTCAGAAGAAGATAGCTCTCACTTCTGATTTGGCAAAGTGAAGCACTCGGAAATCGGGACAATATTGGAGGCGACGTAATTTTCCACGAGCCACGCCGATCATCAGAAGTCGAGTCCGAGCTCCGATCTGATTTGAGTTCAGGAACGCTGCCGAATAATCGCTCTGGCTGCGTCACTGTCTCGGAAGCGGAGCAAATTTTCTGCGGCATCTCCCACAAATACAAAACATCGGGAATCGCAAGACAGGTACTCCTCCGGTTACGTCAACGAGCCGCCGGATTTCGGCTCTCAAGGAGGTCGTCATGGAACTTTACGTCTACTGTTTAGTGTGTGTCATGTAAGTTCCTCAAGGCAGCTTTTCGAATGACTCCACCGGTGGAGCGGGTGTCGAGTAGCCCCCCTTCGGAACGACACGCCGCTCCATAGCTGAGATCTACCGTCAGGCCGCGGGAGAATCGGCCGAAATCTTCAGAGTGATCTCGAACTCGTCTCAGCTAGCGCAGTCGAATCCATATGGGATCCCCGAGAGCGCTCCTCTTTTTTCCGCGGGGGTTTTCTCTCAGCGCTCGTATCTCGGAGCCCCGATGCGACTATTGTTCCACTTTCGAATGTCGACTGAAATGAAAAACTTGGTTTCTCATTTATTGTCGACGACAGAGAAAGGAACCTTGCTGAACCCTGTTCTAATGTCGACGGGGCTGAAAGCCCCGCCTTTGGTTCACCTAAGAGAAACGTGAACAAAGGAAGAAAGACTCGCTTTTGAATCGCCCGTCGCCGCCGCCGTCTCTTTCCAGTAATCGAATTCCACATAGAACATCGGACATTCGTTCTCGCAGTGATGTACAATTCTCTCTTCGGCGAAATGTGAATTTCGGAGCCCGCCAAGACGCGGCTGCCATCGCAGCACACTCCGAAAACACTTTGCCTCTGTCGTTCCATCAAGAAAATTTGTGAAAAACAACACGCAAATGGCTCTTTTGTGGCCATTTCGCAGATTGAATTGTCGTTTCGAACGAGTGCAAGTCTTGGGAATTCGTTTCAAACCAACGAACCGCCGCATCAACGGCAGGCGGGCAGTCACACTGACGAGCTCTCCGAGCCGGCCGGCTTGCGAGAAAAACACCCTCCCTACTTCTGCAAATTCGTAACAGAGGTCCTAGGTGCCGTTGATGGTCCCGAAACATCGGCGTCCACTCAATCCCATCAGTGCTCTGAGGAAAAACAGACGTTTTCAGCAGTGCCGACTTCTTTTTTCCGCACGACGTTAACTTGGTCAAAGCTCGTTCCAAGTCTCTCTCTCTTTCTCCCTCACAGGGTTCTCGGCGTTGTGGTGATCAACGGGATCTACTGCGTCATGTACCTTTCGTATCCACTACCCGGAGGTCTGGAACCGTGTCCTCCCTTGGCGAAACTCCGGAGAAAATCCAGGAGCAGACCAAGCCCGAGAACTCGCTCGCCGCTGCGCACAATCCCTCGCAAAGGCTCTGCTGAGGTTATGGTGAGAGAACGAACGCAAACGGGAACACAATAGCGATGTAATCTCGAGGTTGTTCAAGAATCATGTGCCCTAGGCTTCCCGCGTCCACTGGGCTCCGAGGCTCGTCCCAATCCTCTCGAATGCGCATTCCAGATCCCCATGAGTCAATATGACGACGACATCGACACCAGGCTCCAGCCTGTTGTGGAGTCGCCGCCCATCCGATTACAACACCAGCAGAGCACGCCGCGGAAGAAGTCGGGTCGCTCCAGTTCCCCTCGAACATTCACTCCGACGCGATCGACATCACCACCGAGGAGCATCAATCAATCATCGATTTCCATAACTCCACCCCTGGCCAGGTCCAACACCCCCACTAGACCTACCTCCTCGAGAATGAAGTACGGGCAGACAGAAATCTGAATTTCGCGCTCGATTAAACATTCTCCGGAAGAACAGGTTCAGTGTAGAGACTCGGCCGAGGGGTCGAGTGAATGCGTGAGAATTGATAGCTAGCTCACAAGTGGCAAACGGGGAAGGAACACATGCCATAGAGCACACCTTCTGGCGGAGGGGGTTGGCGTATTTTAGTTTATCTGATCTCGCGCGCGTCTTTTTTTCGCCTCGGGTGCGGAGGGCTCTATGGATAGACACTTACCCCCGATATTTTTCTACATTTGAAGTGAGAATGAGACGTCTGGGAGGATGACAGAGAAGAAAGTTCTATCGACTCCTGGAAAAGGGGCCATCTAGAAAGTATGCCTGCGTATCGCGATTTCCCTAATTCTGGAAGAAAGATTGAGAGGATGCTTGGTTGGAATGATAGTGCGGTAGTTGATGTTGATATCGTTGAAGATATTTGCATGAACATCATAACCGTCCGAATTTACTGCAATATTGATACACAAAGACACCATAAGCTTGAATGATGATATCATAATATATTCACCGCCTTCAGACACAGCAGTCAGGAGCATCGACTTACGACGTCTGCTGACTAACTAATTGAAAATGTCATAATTATTCCACGAGATAATATATACACGTCTTTTTGCGCTTTTGCGCCGATTCCGTGAGCAGAAATCACAAATATATATCATAGGGACACCTTCCCCATATGCCAATTAAATATCAAGGTGAAAGTTGAAACTTATACCTTTGGATTTTTCAAATAAGGATCTTCATGTTTCATGTCCGGACAAAGAGAATCGTATTGCAGACATTTGACAAAATAAAAGAATCAGCTTGCTCCACAGGCAGTGATTTTCATTCGAGTGGAAAGTCAGTGTTCAAAGTCCACGATCCGCAGGTCGACGGATGCGCTCAGAATACCCCTTCCCCCCCATAAGAATCTCTAGGAGCTCGGACCCTGCAGACACAGCTTAGAGCAACATCAGTCAGAGACCCCCATGACAACCACACCCTGCCCCCGCAATTTCCCCGGAAACTCAGTTCCCTAGATCTGATCGATCAATACACATATAGATATCGGAGGCTCCCTATCGATGAAACGTAGACCTCCGCTCGCTCGTGAATGTCGTCTAGAAGACTTGAAGAGTGCCGTTAGGTCACTTCGTGGTTGGCCGGCCGGGCGTTCTTCGTGCGCCGTCTTCCTCCAGTCGGTCTGGTGTCTGCTCGGAAATCGATGAAAATCAGGTTTTATGGAACGTTCATGTTGTCCGCATTCCCGGCAGTCCGCGGAACCGCTGCCCGAACTTCCGCTCGGACATCCGCTCCTCGATGGACTGGCTTTGCTTCTGTCGCGGCGAATCCCCCGCGGACTGCCGGGAATACTCACTCCCTTTGTGCTTTCGAAGGAGGCTCCCGAGCTCATTCGCAGGGGCACACAGCTTGGCAGATCAACTCGTTCAGCCCTCGCTTCCCCAGCCGGAATATCCGTCCTTCTCTTCCTTGCTCCGACCGACTCCCTACCTACGGCCGCCTTCGACGCTCCAAGCGCCCCTGTCCCGAGGAGAACGCGTCGGGGGAAAGCGATCGAGGCTTCTGAAGCTCCTCACCTGTTCTTTTAGAGGAGACCCTGCATAAATTGGACTTCTCGCGGCCTTTTTGTGGGTCGAGTTTGGCTCTAACTTCTGTAAGAGCTAATGAGGAAGTGGTGACTAATCCCGAGAGTTCGAAAACTGGAAGAGATTTCCTGTCGAGGAAGACTGGAATAGGGCGCTTTTTCGAACGGTCGCCGTCGGAGATCCGGAGCACTCCCGCACTTCCCGTCTATGGAATGCCTTTCCTCCTCATGCCTTCCCTCCAACGTATGATCCGAAACTCTTGAAATCCAACACTATCCGCTCTCTCCCTTCAGGTAAAGAGCCATAGGTTTTTTAGTGGGTATTATGTACATGAGCCCCACACTCCAGTTGAATTCCCCACTCTTCTGGGTAGTGCGTCAATGCATTTTTCTTGTGGTGTTTTCACCTTTTCCTCCTACCTTCCCCTCAGTCCCTCTCCCCCTTTTCGCACTCGCAGTTCCTTTCGAGAATCATAGGGTCACCCCTTTGCGAGCGGCTGCACCAAAGAAAAAAAAACTCACCTACTAAAAAACGATTCTCCCTGAGTGACTAATATGTGTAATAATTGTATCAAAAATACGTATTATGATATAATGCTCGAATTTTCGGGTCCAGTTCGGGAAGACTTGAAATGCGCTCTGACACGACGGAGACCCTGTCTCGGAACTCGTCCCAGAATATTTTACTGAATCTTTACCGAAGACTCTCAATCCTTCCACTGTTTGACTCAGGAGCTCACCACGAGACAAGGTCGCCAAGAAATAATAATTTTCACAATTTCCCTTTATTGTACAAGTAATTTGCCTCGGCTCGGTATTAAGGTTGATGATTTGGGAAACAATCGAGCGCTAGTGTTTTGTTCGGGTTTGGTGAGGTTACGTGTCATTCAATGATGCCGCTTAATGTCATTCCGAGGGGGCTTGAATGAAGGCATAGGGGGCCGATTCGGAACAACGTTTCGTCTATCAGGGGATGCAGCATTGGATGGAGATTCGACCTGCGCTGCAAAAAGGTTGACGACCAGGGCACATTCCCCTCTCCGCCCTGGGAGAGCGCTTCGCCTATAGCGTGGACTCCGGCTTGAATGTTTGATGACTCAAAATACGGGCAAAGCCTCCCGGATGACTTCAGCCGGGGGGAACGCGATCACGATCTTGTGTTAATTCTATTTGTGCGAAAACAAGCTTCACTCCCAATGAGCGGGATCCAAGTGAGCGAGGTTTTGTGTGATTTACCGCAGAAAATGTCTGTACTGGCGTCCTAAACCCTCACATTTACGCTGCAAACGGCATGAACGACAGTTGATGAGACCTCTATTTCCGGTGGCTAGAAAAGTTCACTCGAGTCCTCAATTGATTTTCGCGCGACGATTTCGCGTGGATGATCGTTGGGCTACTAACCCGAGGAACTAATCATTATCGACGAGGCTATTCCAGTGTTTCTCGCCTAAGACAGCTGGGAAACATTTAGAGAAGTGGTGGGGGATGGCGCACAGAATTTCGGACTCCTTCGATCCACATTTGAAAGGGAGGAGCGCCAAGTGTGCGTAGATTGTTCTGTTCAGACTGTCCACAAGACGCACCTGCAGAGATGAATGGAAGATTCTTGGAGACTGCGAATCCTTTCAGAGCCGCCCTCAGCGGAGGCCGAACTGTGTTTCCTCCGGAAGAGTCATTTGGCATAAAATTGCTCACCTGACATTTGTCATCAAGAGCGTCGAGGAAATCTTTCGGAACCATCCGTCTTCCCACCATGGTGATTTCATTAGTCGACTTGATACCGTCGAATGTCTTCTCTTTCACCGAGAAAGTCCGCTTGTTCGGATTCGACATCTTGAACGAAAAATCTCTCCCTATCAGTCGGAATCGAGTCCTTCCGAGAATTCAGTGAATCGGGATCTATGAGAGCAGGTATGTCTAGTATTCGATGTCACGAGCTGCCTCCGCTCGCACCGATCGGTCGACACGCGGTGGAATCGAAGCTCGGCTCTGAAATCATCGGAACTCGAGGAATAGGAGATGTCCATAAAAGCCTCGTTATAATTCGCCTCTTCACCGAGAATATGACCGAATCGACGGTATCGAACCTCCAACCGGAGCTGCTCCCGTCACCGTGGAATCGATCGGAGCTGATACAGACCTTGTCTTCCCTCAGTTGCGCTCGTTGCCAATCGACGTGTGCCGTCAAACCGCCAGATTATTTCACGGAGTTATCCGCCAGCGCCGATTCTCCAGATTTCGAAGCGAAAAAGCGAACGACTGAGCAGCTATTAAGTAATGCGCGGGATTTTAACGAACGACAAGAGTATCCAGGGAATCTTTGAACAGCTGACCGCATGCTTCGGCTCCTCCTCTCCCATCAAAGCCCGCCGGGCGCTGAGCTCTCACTGAAAACGTCTGCTCTATACATAGCGCCAAACTCATGACGTGTCTACAGGATGGGTTACTTCCATGAGCATTCCGACGAGCTTCTCAGCGAGAGGGATAGGGCGAATCACACCGGAGGGCTGTAGGGCAGAGCAGAGATTACGCTCGGATAGGGTCTCCAGGCGGCTGGGAAGGAAGCGCGGCATGTAATGATGGTTAACTATTAACTTCGCGGTCTCCCGAGGCTCGGCTGTGAGGTTCCCAGAGGATTTCAATGAGGTGTCCCTGGGAACTGTCTGTCCTCGACCTCGATTCCGAGTCAGGATGGAGTCTACCTCCACACCGATATTCGGACTAATCAGGGGAAAATACTAATCAGAGAAGCAGAGACCCTCAGCGCCTATGAGTTCAGCTGGGTTTCGGACGGAGGAGCGAGCTCATGAGCTCCACAATGTAGACTCCCGCGAGAGCCACGTCTCCGCCGTATTTCTCTCTCAAGTTTCGGTTCTGACTCGTTCCAAAGAGTTCCTTTACTTCATTTTCTCGAATCCCGGATTTAGGAGGACAGACAACCGTCACTCTCTGTCCGTCATCTGATGCCGAGCCTCAGCAGGGGAGCCGGTCGTTTCCCTGCGGGGAGGTCCGTGCCCAGGAAAATTATTTTGCAGAGACTAGGATGATCACATCCGTTAGGTGGAGGGGGCAGGTGAAGGGTGATTTCTGAACGCTGAGAAACAGGCTCAAGTCATCGCCGACTACAGCGAGAAAATCCTCCAGACGAATTGTCGGCTATCCGGACAAGTTGTTGTTGGCAATCTACTCTTGAGTTGTTGGGAGCCGACGAGAGGCACACCCTTAGAACTAGATCGAACTTACATGGGCCAACAGTGTATGGCTTATTATTGCCCACTGTTCCTCCTTCTAATTTCGAGAATCATCTACAGGCTCTGCATTCCCCACGACCTAGTCGCCTCGGCATTGCACGGCTGACCTCTGGACCGATTTTCTCGCGCAGTGCCTAAATTCTCCTCGGATGCGTTATAAGCCGTATAGGCATCGATTCGACTGCGACTCTTCGTTTCTGGTCGTCATAAGCTGAGTTTGGCAGAACTCCATTGCGGCGCATTTGACTCCAGCCCTTCCCCGAACTCTAGGCGAGGATGAGCTTGACCTCTTGGGTGCTTCTTCCAAACAGACGTCGAAAGATGCGAATGTGAATTTCTTGTATATATTCATCCACTCTCTTGTCTTGTTCTCTATTCCCGCGCGTTCCAAGACACCAGTGGTCGATTCGAGGGGCGGCCGATTCGATGAGAATTTCAAGTATTATTTGAGGTTCGCGTGACACTCGCTAGCCGAGATCGACAATCAGCGCACCAATCCGGAAAGTGTCTCCCCGCTCGTTTGAAGCACTCAACTCTGATTCCAAGAGGTCTCGTCGGCGATATCCGGTGAAAAGCGAATAGAGTCTACACATCACGAGACGCATATCTCGAATTCAAAGAGTTGCAATCGTCATTGGGAACGAAAATACCACAGCGAAAAGAGACTCCTCGGGCGCCAGAATTTTCAAAGCGGAGTCCCATATATAAATTATATTCTATTCCACTCCGTCGAACTAGGCTCGTCTACGAAACGACAAGTCGAACGCCGGATCTCCCTGTGTCGTTCATTCCGAGTCCTTTGTGGGTACATCGAAAAATCCGCGGGAGTGTCCCGAGTCGCTCTTCATTGATTCCGAATTAAACCGTGACTGGGATGTGTGGAAGCCTTTGTGGACCTGGAGCAAATACGCATCCCATATATAAGGACTCAATGGAGGCTCCCGACGCAGTAGGCTCATGACTAGCGGGTACGGATCGCGCTCCGAGTCTGAAGCTCGCGATCTTCCTTGCAGAATGTTGAATTACTATCTTACTTTTGCCGCGGGACTTTCCTTCTGTGAAAATAAGCGGTCTGATTTCAGACCCGGAATGAGAGCACTATACGTACTGACAGCGCTCGTTTGCGTGGCTGCGGACGCCTTGGCGCGAAGCACGATGTCTACTGGGAATTCGACAAGCCGTGACCAGATGATCACCGCAAGTGAATGTGATTGTCTGCAAAAATCTTTTGAAGACCCGGATACACATAGTTCGATATTCATAGGCATTCCTTGTGATCACTCATAGTTGGATGTTTGTATATTAGTTGAATGGATGCCTCCAAGGCATCAATATTTTGAGGAAAAGGCCGTTTATTGCAGTTTTAACGTCCCTCAAAGACATCGTTCAAATAGCTGGCAAGAATATCGGAATTTCGGAAGGATCTTTGCAGAAGGTTGGTTCCGCCACCGCCGTTCTCGTCAGATCGGGTGCGACGATTCTCCTCACGGCCGTAGTCTCCCGATTAGACTCATTGATTTCAGATCGTCGAAATCCTCGATAAGGAGCTCCCCGAAAATGTTATAAGTCCCATTTTCAACAACGCGAGAGACGCCGGCATGAAACTCGTGAACTCGTATACTGCAGCTGTCACTATCGTGAGTATCTCCCGAACTATCCATATTCGCTGCAATCGAAGGCAATTCAATCAACCCGTGATGAATTGAGACTGCTTCAAAGATTCCGGAGGACCGTGAATCATTAGCGTTTCGAACGGACCGGAGCTGCGATCTGTCTCACGACACCAAGCGTTCAGTCATCGGATTATGTTTCTGCAGGACAAATCGATCGCAATGAGTGATGCCCGGCTCCTCTTGAATCGATTTCAAGAGGTCTACAATCTGGTGGTGGGAAGTTTCATGGTGAAGAAAGTGTAGCTCCCCACATCTGTCCCAGGGCAAAGACTCCCCTCTCGGGGAATCGCATGATGAATAAATGGACGCCGAGAATCGGTCCATGCAGGAAGAGTTCCCCTCGGCACAGCTGTCGCATGTCGGTGCTCCCAGTCAGAGGACGGGGAATTTCGAAGTCAAGATTTTCCACATGTTCATCTCGTGAGCGCGGGAGTCCTCGTGGCGATCATCACAGAATATATCAGCATAATGTTTACGAAACAATTTTTCTTCCCGTCCACTGAGCCGAGTAAACTTGCGTGCTGAACCTGACGCCACTACCACCTCAATCTGAGCAACGTTTACGTCTGTCGATTCTGGATGAGCGGGATGGATCGAGTCATTTCCATCGGTATACTCCTCGCTGGCGGCGGACACGGTGACGCAAGATGACGCGCGGAATCCCGAGTCGAGCTCGAAGTCACACTTTCATGAGACTATTCGACTCTTTCGGAGAGCTCCCGACTGAGCTTGGATATCTTCGATTTATTCGAACACCCCTGGCTCCGTGTTGTCTCTCTCCGAGATGGAGTGTTTGTATTTCACGGTCTAACTAAGATGGTGTCCGTTGATGAATGCTTTTAGTCATGAGCGGGAGAGATCTGCAGCGAAGAGCTCTAACTGTGCGACTAAGCGAGCAGCCAAGCAAGGCTCGAGTGAAGATAACGAGAACAAAGCTCGAGTACAACACTAATTGAATCGGACTGTATTTAGGCAAGAGAGGCGCGCTTCCACCAGGACGTGTCCATGTGAAGAATGCGTGAGTTTGCTTTGCACCCCGCTCCGACGGAGTTGAGATGCCGGGGGAAAAAAGAAAAACAAAAGAATCGAGATATAGGGGACTCTTGCCGTGGTCGGAGTGCACAAAGCGCGGACGATGCGAACATACATACACTCGGCCGAGGCGACAACAGAGGGACGTTGTCATCGCACGGAAGGGCGAGAAAATAAACAACGCGAGGACGCGCCGATGATTCGAGCTCAAGACCAATGAGGAAAAAGAATTCACCCGAGTCACGAAAATTTTCGAGCTATAGAGGGAAGTTTTTCCCCAACATTTTCTGGAAAGCACATTCTCTAGAATCTTCTCCGCTATTGTTGTGTGTGAGCTCTCTTGTTTTCGCTTTAGATTAGTCGGGTTCCGAGAATGCTCCGAGCTCAACACTGAGTGTCAAGAGCTCCACTTCAATCACGCCGACTGAATCAAAGTTGAGCCTCTGAACGTCAATTCCCGCCACAGAACTCGAGCGCAGAGGCGGCGAGGACCAGTGCGCTGGCTGGTGTTGACTTGGTGCGACATGAGGAATTCTACTTCTTCGCCTATCCGTCCGTCGGCGTCGTCTACTGGTTGCCGTTGTCATTTCCTCCGGCCGCCGTCGCCGTTGAAGCTCTGTAAGTGTCTCTACGTTTGTCTGCGGATGATGAGCAAACAGTCTCACATATCTTGAGTTGCACACGCTCATTTCCCGCCTCGACGTCGAAAACGAGAAGTTTGGTCTAGCAATCGTCGCTGCTGTCATTTTCTTCTCGTCGCCTCCCATCGTGCATCACAGCACTTGCTTCTGTTGCCTCCTGCGCAGCAAAGGGTGAATCCGACGGACGAGATCGGTTGCGGGCGAAGACTACCACATAAACGGCTCTAAGCGGCCGAACAAAGCGGTGAGTTTCCGTGACCGGCACGCCCGAGCGGCCAAGAGCGTCATTCTTGCAACAGTTCCTCCCATAAACCCATATTTCTGTAGCTCTGCCTTCCCATCTCTCTCATCCAATATTCACGTGTGCGCGTATTGGTCTGTTTGTTTTTCCTTCTTGCTTTGATCGCTTTCCCTCGTGCCGGAGTCTCCGACATCAACTCCAGAGACTATAAAAGCTCCCTGAGCCTCACCGCCAGAGTCGGATCGAATACATTTCGCATCGAAGCCACTACAATTCTCGGCATGCAGCTGTTCGCATCTACGGTCGCTGTTGTGGTCTGCTGTTCGGCGTTGTCAGCTCCAGCGTTCGCTAATGATGATATACACGGAGAAAGTGAGTACTTTCCCGGATTCTTCACCGCTTCCCTAGCATTTTAGCGCTCCTTACGGGGAAATACCGCGCGGAATGTTCGCGATTCTTCCTATGGAGAATTCATGAACTCGACTTTCTATCCCACGTCGTTCAGTGGCTCAGGAACGAAATAGATGCCCAAGGCATTGTTTGTGTTCGAAAGCATCCTTGATTGAAAGCTTCGCGCCCTGGCTCATCAGCCAAAAACTCCCGATATCGATTCAGTTTGACGCTGTTCTTCGGAGCAGGGACCGTTCTGATTGAGAATATAGGGGGGGAGAGGGGGAGGGGAAGCGTGGGAGGGAGGGAACGTCGGAATCAGAGGAATAGAGTCAGGTATCTATTTAGTGTGTGAAAGCAATACGACGGAGCGTATCTGGCAGAGAAAGGTCTCCCCTATTTGCAGAAGCAGCGGCAAAGATGCGGGGCGAGGCAAGAGTGAGCGAACGGGGCATAAATCAGGTAACTCACTCACTCATCCGCTTGAGCCTGCGGGACTCTGTTCCGTCTTATCTCGTTCTCGTTGAGGATAATCCCTGCGGGGTATCCGCACGGGAATCCATCATGAAGGGTTGTGATCCAGCCATATTTGCTCGCACGAAGCTACGATGACGACGACGAAGCCAGCCAAACAGCCGGCCGGCCAGCCAGCCATCCTAGTGACTTGCCCTCCTCTCGGCAACACCTCGACGTCCCCTTGGTTTGCCCGAGTTTTTGCCCACTAGCCCCCGGCATTCGGCTCCCAGCAGTCCCCGGTGCCATCTGGGGCTGACTAGTCGCGTGGGTGGGGCAGGGGAAAATCAGAAGGAACGCCGGTAAGGGCTTAGTACTAATGCCCACCTAACCAAGCAACTGATGGACGGACGGACGAACGGATGAACTTACGACCGGACGCCGCTGCCGTGAGAAACGAGCACCGAAGGAGAAATATCTGTGGGCGTTGGGAATTACCTCCAGTCGGATGGACGAACGACTCTGATCGTAGATGTAGATGCGTCTGTTCACCGAGCGGGTCGCAGGTTTCCTCTCCAGGAACGAACGAACCCAACAAGGACAAACCAACAGCCGAGAACGGCCGCTCGCCTGACTGGCGGTGACTTGAGAGCCTTATATTGAATTCGCTTGCCTTCTGACTCAGAGGAACCTGAGTTTTTTTTGGTTGAATCCTCCGACAACTAAATGTGCGCGGAGTTTTCCTCCACCTTCGCCATTCGGACCAATCAGCGAGCGACGAAGATGTCAGCAGCTCCATCCACTGGGAATACAATGAGCTCCGGATCAGATTCCGGGGAGTTCGCTGAATTTACGCGTCGCAGGAGTGAGTTCGCGTCGACGTCGGACAATATCTGAGCGGACGCTCGTCCACACCTCCGCTATCTCTGGGTTCGCTGCTCGAGCGTCGCTGTTGTTTTGAGGAGCGGGTCCGGGATACGGGATAGCGACAGCGGCGGCGGCGGCAGCGACAACGTTCCGGACACGACGTCGACGACATCCTTATTTAAAGTTCTCATCGCTCTGGAGGAGATGTCGTGTTACGGTGTCGACGGGAACTTTGTTGTGTCACCGTGCATCCTGCATCCTTCTTTTAGCCAGTCGTCCTTTTCCCCCTCGGCCCTGGATGCGGGATGGAAAGCTTCCTAGTGAGCGCATCCGACCACCAACGGCGTGCGGTTTAATCTAGCGTGAGTCTTTTGTGTCAAAGGATGCTCAGCAGCTAGCTAGTCAGTGAGCTTCCTGGCGAGAGACATCGGAGGCATCCGTGCAGAGGGGACTGAATGTACATATCCACACACACACACACATATATATGAACGACGCTGGCGTTGTCGTCGGTATATTGGGGGTGGGGGCGAATGGAGGAGAATTTACTGTACCTACGACGCCGAAATACGGAAGCTCACATTAGAGGAGCCGCAGAGAGGTATTTTTGCGAGCGCACCGGAAGCCTGTAGAGAGAAAGCCTGCAGAATGCTGCTCCGAGGATTTTTGTGGTGCTTACGAGACTTTTATGGTCGAGGCTCGAACTATGCGGCATTGAGTGCTGCGAGCGTGATTCGGAAAAGTAGGGGAACCTCAGATAGCGGCGTTGTTGCTACCATATCTGGCGCTATAGGCGTTCCCTTCGGGTAGTTTTCTGCTGGTGGAGAGGAAGCTGCATCGTCTTGGCTGCGAAAATTGCTGTCCATCCTCGAGAACCTTCCTTTATTCGACCTCACCGCGTTCATTCCTCGGATGGATGAGCGGATTGATTGATGAGGAAGTGATTGAAGATTCACAATTCAATGTGACGACTGACGAGTGAGAGACCTGTATGAGTCCGAGCCGAGCTCGTCGATCGCGCTCTGTACGTGGAGCATGTCGCGGAAATCGAAGCTGCTCCACACGGTAGTCTCCCAGCCCGTGGTCAGCACCGTGCCGAGTCAGCTCGGCGACGACAAACTCCGGAATGGGAGGAAGGAATTCGGAACTAATTTTTCCTTCGAGTGGCTGTTCTCTCTCTCCTGCGCGCGTTTTACGCGAGGCTCTCCCGCCGGGGGTATGGCCTGAAAATGAGAGAAATTCTCTTGTTTAGAGTAATCTTCGCATTCCAATGTAGCGAGTCTTTTCCGCCCGCCCTCATTCGGAGTTCCCTCTCCGTGGGTCCTTTGCGATCGTTTCAAAGCTCCTTCGCCCTTGGATCCACGACAGCATTGTGCAGAGCTCGAGTTCGCGGGAACAGCATTTAATTTAATGAGCAAAAACATTCCATAAAAACGCGTAGTTATCCGAAGAGGACGTTCGAGCGCAGCGACGAGACAGGTGAACAAGCCAAGAGATTGAAGAACAAGAAAACCAATGCAAGCGTTTAAGAACTTAGTTTGATAGCTTCCCCCACCCAGGGACATTTGGTGTAAAGTAACGAGGGCACGAAGCAGACTTTGGGGGAGATAGGGAGTGGCCATTGGGAGCGGAAGAGGCTGCCTGGTATGCGCTTCTTGGTCTCTGCAGCCGAAACCAGATACCCACCCTACGCTCGAAATCAGGCCACTTGGTTTTCCGGAGTCTGCTCGCTTCGGTCGCGCTGTTTTCGTTCCTCGCATAGATATACCGCTCTTGTCTATCGAGCTCCCTGCGACCCCTTCCACGGAATCCAGGAATCGTCGCAGCCCCCCCTTCCCCGATAAGCGGTATACCCGACCTCTTCCGGCCGGCCAGTTCCAGAAACGCGATCGCTCCAGGTCATCGGGTGAATTCCGTAGGTTTCCGTTGGCGCATACGATCTCCTGATTCGGGGATAGATTCAGATATCCCTTCGGAAAACCCTCGGACCAAATTTTCGTGTTTTGAGGTTCCAGACAAATCAACAGGGAGAAGCGGTTTTGCACAGGGCCTCGTGCGGGGGCTTGGAGTTTGTACTCCACCCAACACGATCCTGGTCAGCTGCTTTTGCGACCCTTGGTGCTTGCTCCGTTACCCTGAGCCGTCTCGCGTACTGTAGAGAAGCATAAGAAGAGGAGCCCTTGGCCGAGCTAAGCCGTCTTCATTTGCTGCTCATATCCTTATTACTTTTGATTACGCGAGATGCTGTGCGAGGATGAAGAGAAGTTCAGAGTTTGTTGAGCTCGTCGAAAGCTCTTCGCTGTTGATCCTCTCCGTGAGGCGGGGAAAAGAAGACTCGCTTCACCAGCGAAACTCGCGTATTACTCGTTTCCATTGTGACCCGAGGCATCTTCTCGCAGATCCGTCGATATAGCTCCTAACATTCCCTCATTCTATGAATTGGCGAAGGCAACGCGCTCTTGCTCGAAGTTTGTTCGAATGGATCTCGTCAGAAGAGATTATGTCTACCCCGGATATTGTCGATTCGTAAACAAGATGAAATTTTCCCCGCATGAGAAAAGTCTAGAGAGACCACTAACCGGATTGAATTGCAGTTCTCGACTACGTTACCAAAATAGGCGAGAAGACCGGTTTGAGCAAGGAGCATCAGAGCATCGTTGTGCACATCCTGCACGAAAAAGTAAGCTCTCATGAACGCCCTCGAGTGTATTCGGAACGGAAAATTTCAGCAGAATTATCTCAACGGACGAACGGGGAGTATTTCACGAAACTTTTCCTCATCGATGTTTTATCTTCACAGTTCCCGCATGATACCAAAGCCTATTCGAAGATGACGGACGTAGAGAAAGCTGAGGTCGACAAGAAGTGGGCTGAAGCGAAAAAAGAAATCGAAGCCAAGATGGGAGCTGACAATAAAGAAGATTGGGAGAAGTTCGTCAAAGAGTTCGAGGTAAATTTTGGTTCGAATGCTTTTCCACGACCGGAAAGTCCATCTCCACCAGTCGGTGTGACCCTTTGAAACCCCCATTTGGATCGAATCGGGATCCAGCCAGAAATGCGTACAGCTAGGAAGACTGAAGATCCGATGCTTCAGTATTGGCGAATAAATTCACAAAACATATCTCCCTTTTTGTTTTTCCAGAAAGGTACTGAAGGGATGCACCATGGCAAAACCGAGAAGGATCGTCGCAGGCGATCTCTCTTCCGTATCTGATTGCTCCCAGAGAATACTCAATAAAATCCGTTTCAGCAAGTGCTTTGTTTACTTTCTGGAGCATTCCGCAGCGTGCCGGTAACATACGGCGAATAACGGCACATTGAACTTCATCAATTCCCACTTCATGCCATAGGCTCGGCTCTCACTCAACTGGATGAAAGACCCTATTCCCTCTAAGCAGCGGGAATAGGGTGCTCTATTGGAAAGGCATACTCCGGATTGGGGGCGTCCTGTGGTCCGTATGAAAAATCGCGTATGCAGGATCGTACTTATAGCCCGTAGTGAAACACTCAACATTATAAGAAAGATAGTGATCGATGGAACACGTGACCATACTTCATCATTCGCCGTCCGGAAGAAGTCCGGTCTATCACAATCTGATTGAGATCTTCGGAGGGTATGCTCCTACTGATGAACTTGTGGTCTCGATGCTCCCGGATGCAGTTTCAGAACCCTTCCCAGTCAAATCGTCCATTGCGCTCGATCCTATGTTGTCTGGGTCGTCTCGCTCGCCTACATCTCCACCCTGAATCCTGAATGTGCATCTTCGCACTTTTCTGCGTTAACGAAGTATGCGCAGCGGAGATGGATGTCGCAACCTGAAGCCGACGTCCGTGTGAGATCGAATGTGTATCTGATGCTTTCGAAGCAGAACTTCATCGGTCACCTGAACGAGGGGAAAGCTCTCACCGTAATAGGCTGACAGTGGAGGCGTTAACGCGTTGAGGGCCGAGCGAGCGGGCATCCAGTCAGTCCGTCAGCGAGACGCAGCAGAAAGCCGAGAAGAGAAACAGGAGAAACAGCGGCCCAAACAAGCATAGTCAGCTTCCACGAAGCCGAGTGTAAGAGTGAGTGAGTAAGTGAGTGATCGGGTGGCGCGGATAGCGAGACGTACAGTTGCTCGCATGACCGGTCGGACGAGTGGGTGGCGTGTTAAGCGAATAACGACTTTATCAAGTAATGCCTTATCAGTGATGCGCCGATGATAAGCGACAGAAATTCTTCTTCGATTATTATTGCTTGTTCGCGGGCGACACGTGGACGAGCCGCGAGGCAAAGATGCGAAGACCGAGGGTAGTAGGGGGATTTGGCACCTCGTTCGCCGCACTTTAGTAGATTGCAATAGTCGCAGTGGTCGTGTTAGCAAAACGATCATTCGGACGAGAGCTCAACCGAATGAATGAATGAATGGACGAACGGAAGAACGAATGAATGCAGGAGCCAGCCGAGAAACGACGACCAGGCACACGGGCCCTCTGCTTCACCGCGGTGACGCGGAGCCGTCGACGGGGGAACATCCTTCGAAAATCGTCCCTGTGCGCGTGTCTCCGTCGATCGAGCGACGGCTCACTGATTAGCTCTCAGTACGAGTCGGTTTGACTTTCGTCGTAGTTGCGTCGCAAGGTTAACCGGACGAAAGCGAGCGGAATGAATAACCAGGGTGGTCAGTCGTCACCATGTTTTCATCCCGATTGTCGCTTGAGCGGGCGACGGCTTGCAACGCCCGGGACGGAATGCATAAAAAGATAGAAGGATAGCGCGGGACATGCAGGCGTAGGGATCAAGCATGCGGCCACTGAAGGGGTCTGTTGGGGGGCAGGGGGCGCTGAGAGGGGCGGCGGGGACCGGCGAGACGGAAAGGGAAATGAGAGGAGTTTCCAAAAGGGGAAAATAGCCAGGTCCAATGAGATCCGTGAGCGTTCACTGACGAAGCGATAAGCGTAAGGGAAACAAACAATCAGAAGAGCGCATTCAGAAGCTCCGACGTACCTGAGTCCCGGAACTCTACCCGCGGTCGTTGTCGTCGTCACGACCGTCGTAGCCTCGCTCTGCCCAATGTGAATGACGACCCAAGCGAGAGTTTCGGACGTCGGAACGAGGAGAAGAGGGAGACTTCATCGTCTCTGAACGTGATCGTCCTAGTCATCGTCGGTCGTCGTTGTTGATGCTGTTGTTGTCGATGTCCAATGCTCAATCTGAGCGTGGTCGTGGACGATTGGGGCTCCTCGGATGCCATCAGCATTAGCATCGACAACGTTCGAAGTCTCCTGTCCGCCGGCGTCATCGATTCGCTTAGGGAGGATCTTCTCGAGACTGGATTCGCTCCGCGGGGACGTGATTGCGGTTGGACTCGTTGCTCTCTGTCTGCCAGGATTCTTGGCCTGCCGGCAAGCAGATCTCCTTCGCCTTACCGCTTGTCTGGCGGATCTTTTTTATGGACAAACCAAAAGGGAAGGCGGGTGGACAGCTACGCCACCACCACCATCAGGACCATCACCACTAGCGGTCGCTGCCGTCCAGGAAGACGACACGGGAGAAGAAAAAGAAACGATTTACAAAAATCTCGGCGCGAAAAACGCGTATTACTACCACCAGTGGCGGCAGGCGAACACTCTTACACACAAAAACAGAATGGCCCTGGGCGTCAGGTGATGTTCAGGCAGGCGCCCAACACAAATTGCTTCGCGTAGGCTAAACCGCCGCCCATCGCTTGCCTCCTCTCGGTCCGTTCTTCTCCTCCCACTCCGTATTCCTACGTCTTATCCCCAGTCTGTGGGTTCCGCCGTTCGCCCGTCTGTCTGTACGCCCCAATTTGCTTGCTTGCTTGCCTGCTTGCTTCTGTCCTTCATTCCTTACGCGCCGTCCAAGCGTTCTAGATGAGAATCCGTCTCTGGAGAAGGGGGGTAGGGAGCTATGGGCCCCGCGAAGTTGCGAAACCGTGACCATCTCGTTATGTTCGCGAACTAAGCTCATTCACCAGGCGGTATTGCCGAAACTCTTGAATACCGTCATTTAGGTCTTCACGGTCCCAGACGCACCTGTCGCATTGATCTATGCAAGGGTCTCATCGCCTCCGGTTTTTTTTTCCGAAGGGGATTAGGGAGAAGAAGTCTTCCACGGGGCACTCGAGGATTTTTCGAAGGTCGCACGCCTTGCCGGTAACGCAACGTTTTTGGTTTCATCGAACGCACGCGGCTCCTGACAAGACATTAGTGAGCGATTCACGTTCGTTCGAAAGGGCGGCCCCGCGCGATTCAATTAGGTACATAACATCATGACATGAATTATCACTCATTGCGGCCTCATGCGAAGCTTACCATGTACACAGCGAGGGGGCACTCGTATTCGCCATTCGGAAGTTTCTTCCGCGGGTCCTTGATGCATCGGATCACGGACAGCGGCGATACGAACGCCGAACGAACTAAGAGCCAGAGAGTTTTTTTTCGTTTGCCGAAGCCTCTCTCTCGAAGTTTCCTTCATGATCATCGGATTGAGGATTCGTCTAGGTTATGGTGCGCCATGGCGTTTCCGCCGTCCTCTGTAGTGCTACGATCTGCTCCGAAAGGCGCGTATTTTTCCAGGATGATCCGTGGTGAGGATATCACGAATTAGCGGACACACCCGCTGTCTGGGGCCGAGGGAACGAGGAACGGAATTCACACAAACATTATATCCATCACAATCGATCGAGTGCAAAGACGGAAAATGAATGAATCATGCTATTGAGTTTACTCTATCCGCTGTTTTCTAGCGGAACGCACACTGAGCTTCGCAGAGGCGGCGTTTGAGTCGGGGAGCAACGAAGAGACGACCGTCCGAGACTTAAGCTCCATGTCGGTCCACCGAGTTTCTTGCTTCCGCTTCGGCGGAAAGGACTTGAATCCTCACTGTAATATTCAAGTCGCAGATGACACAAGCCTTGGGCTTTAGCTTTAGGGGACCGACGGGTCGTCGCGGAGGAAGTAGTCGCTTCCGCGCGAGAAATATGCCATACTTGGCCCCGAAACCAGTGCTCCGATCGAGCTCGACCGAAACGATAACAACACCGATAAGATAATTGCAAACACGATCAAAAATCACCTGTGGAGTGATGGGAATGAACTCAAACACCTCTTTGCGCTTCATTGACTCGCTCCATTTCTTTCTTTCATTGACTCGCTCCATTTCTTCTTTTCATTTTCTGGCTCTGCCGACTCTATCACCGGGGAACCTCAACGCAGGTGGAGAATTCCTCCTCGGAGCTATCGTCGCCTACTCGAGTCGCTCGTATTTATTCGTAGCTTATCCCACACCGCATGATGGCACGCAGCCCGAGCTGCGGCGAGACTCGGGCTCCCGAGGCCGGATATCGTTTCCTCCAGGCTCGCTTCCGGGCTGAGCCAGAACTTGAAACTCTTGCGCTCACTCTTGCCGGTGGGGTAACACCTGGCGGCGGCCATGCTGAGTGAGTGACATCCACAATCTGAAAACTTTTCAATCCAGTGCCGCCCGACCAGACCGCAGCTGTCGTTGCGGCTTACGTACGTAAGCAGAGCGGAGGAGCCCGCCGATAGCGTAAGAAGGCTCTGGAGTCGATGCAGGAAAAAGATGTTGTAGATGGGAAAAACTACCTACTCGCTTGCTCCGTACCCAATGAAAGCGTCACCCGGATCCCTGTCCGCCCGCGTACCCCGACAGTTGACCACATTCTCGGCCCTTGCTCCAGGTTTCGGAGGATTGGTAATGGCTCAATGCTCGACGGGACGCGAAGGAAGCCCGGAAGAAAAAAACACCGGCTGTGACGCATAGTTACCAATCCTGATCGTTGCGGACCGTCCGCCCTAGTTCTATACCGCCCCCGAACCCACGTTCCCACGTGGTCCTGGCATCTAGGCCTTATATCCTAGGCCCCAGGACCTAAGGCCTAGAGCCTAGGGTGTTTTTCGGTGCACCGTTGCATTTCCACGGGATAGATCTGGGCACAGGATGTTCCCTCTCATCCATTCGGCCTAGAAACGATTTCCCCCAGCTCACGGAACAGGAAAGCGTTTCGAGCGAGAATTATCGCAAGTGAAGCCCCTGAGGCACATTTTAATGTCGACCGGCTTCGGGAAGCTCGAACAACGTCCACGAAGCCTCTCCATCCGAGCAAGCGAGAGACGCACCTTCAGGAAGTTGCTCCCGGCGCGCAGCATTTCTGCAAGGTGCGGAGAAGGGAGATAGCAACTTTACATAAGAGCGTCTGCGCCCGTCTACGTCGGAGGCCAGAATCCCGT